CAGGATGTGTAGCACATGGGACACTTATACATATAACTAAGTTTTGTTTCACCTTAACACGCCCACCACTGTAACTCCTGTACACCAGGATCCACAGCAGTGACCCACGAACACGCCAAGTTATGACACTCGGGAAGTCCCAGGAAGAAATTAAACTGTCTTGGAACCCGCAACGAATTTAATCAGAAGAAAATTGGAGGAGTTGGAAATACAGTAAATCCACTTCCCTCCTTAGCAAAGCAGGAGACAAAATTAAGTAAAATGGGCATACACCCTTTTAAACAGGGAAGCACCACGGCCACAAAAATATTACGAGTCCTACATGAGCTACATTTGATTTCTATAATATGTATGGCAGAATCGCCTAAACACACGGAAATTCACCCTAGTTGACACAAGATCCCCATAGTATACCGCCCCAGATGTCACCTGCAAGCTATTCAGCATTATATTACGTTCATTATACCAAGACTACATTCCCAGAGGATATGATGAGCAGCTCAAAGTGAGCAGTGTAATGTGCAATTGTTGGTATTGTTGTTGGTAGTGTGTGCGGTGCGGAAGTGTTGGGTCTATACAGCAAACGGCGCGGATCTTCCCACCGCCGCCGCCGGCGCCCTCAATGGGCGGAAGCTAATCGCGCTGTACGCGCCGCTTGTTGTCACAACACCGCACATACGCACTACATGCACTCATCACACGTCTCTTTGTTGACGTTGTGTTGCCGCCAATCAACCCTATATCCAACCTCACCGTGTATCATCTTACGTGTAATGTGTAATATTCGAGATGGCAACACCGATCAGCCCTGTGGCATGTATAACAATAATAAGAACTCGAGACACCTCACTCACGGTCGTGTGAACCCTAACTAGACAAAGCCTGAACTCTGGTAACCGAACTGCTGGCACACATATGTCCAGTATCTATATGTATATTACTAAAATCACATTACAAATAAATTTCCAGACGCAGAAAAATTATTGTCAGACAGTTATTTGTGTCGGTTCAGTCAGGGTCACTAACCACTAGACCCAGGATTCCTGAAGTGGTTGATATCGACCCCTTGGGGTCGAAATCGGTTTCCCAGCGTTGACATGAACGAAAACAGATTTTGGAGGTCGATGAGAAACTAAAAAACTAGAGAAAAATTTTAAAGTAGGTAATTTGGCTATGGGGTTCTGAGGTATCAGTTCATTTTGGAAAAGAAGTCTCTTGCCCAAAAAAGTTTGGGAGTCCCTGCACTAGACCATCGTGCATTTAAAACGTATAATGCTAATATAATGACTTCCTCTCTTACATTTATTATGTATTACATAATACATGTAAGAGAGGAAGTCAGCGGCGCTGGGCCCGCTCCATCACTTGTGTCGATAGTTGACAGTATTTATGTTATTGTTTCGGCCAATTTATTCATAAATTCTTACGGTATGCGTTTTTAGCCATAAACTACGTGGAAATGTGTTCAACAATCATGACGAACACTAGGTTTTATAAACAAGTACATACCTATATAGAACTACAGAGTTTTCGCAATCCTGATTTCTCTCCTGTGCCAGTCGGGCTACATTGGTCGGCGGGTAGAGGACCGAACTGAGGAAAAGGGAAGAGCCGGAGACAGACCACTTTATTTTTATCACCCTATTACTATGTTCATAAGTCCAGGTTTTAAAAACCTAACCTAGTGACGTAGGATTTGTATTTAAGTTTAGAATATTAAAATTAGATGCACTATTATGAAATAGTTAGTCATGTACTAATAATGTTTCCTGTTGGTACACAATATTAGCTAAAGCATTTATTTGTATTGTTTTCCCGCTGCCCACGCGCTTGATAGGTATCTGGTGCACTCAATATTTTCTACTTGTGGTCGGAGTGAGCTCACCGTACACGCGCAGCATCCTTTATTGAAGTGGAGCGCTACGGATGCCGCGGACACACTTGTACGTTTTGTTATCAAACCACTCGTAATGTAATCCTATTGAGCCAATTGATTTCGCCAACTTGTGTGGAGCGGCCCGCGTCCTGTCCGCGACTTACAATATCTCAAATTACAAACCCGTTCAAAAGTCTTGACTCCTCCCGTCAAGTGTCCCTAACTAATTAGACCTGCATTAGGTTATCTATAAGAACTAAAGTCGACTTATTGTAATGTATTTTTTCATGCGACCATTGAAATACGCTTAGACTTGTTATTCAAAAACATGTACAAACATTTTTGAATAGAACCTCGGACTTACCGTGACATCTAAACACCCATTCTGACGTTTGAAGCTTTGTTTTTTTTATCTAATGCATTAAAGCTATAAAAAAAGTAATTATGGCGGTTGTATACCAACCCACTGCTTTATATTCTTTACTTCCTTTTTTACGTGTAAAATCCCCTCAGACCGTCACCCACCGGGGTTTACGGCGGGGTGGTGTGACGGATTCGGACCGACTAAAACCACACGTTGTGCCACTCTGCGCCTGAAATAGTAGGGATCCGAGAACCTCTGTTATTTTATCTGTCATTTTATACAAAATGAACTCGATACGATGGCGATTTATTTCCACAGAATTTTGCGAAAGAAAAATGAGCAGTGAAATGTTGCTGTGCGGACAGGGCCTTTCCGGTCTGTTTTTTTCATTTCGCATTATCTGCATCCAAATTTATTGATATAGATTCTATTCCTTTATTTTAAACCGTTCAGGCAGCGCACGTCATATTATGTTAATTGCCTTTTCAATTAAATTTATTGTAATTATTAAATAAAAATATATAATTACCAAAATAAAAAGTAGTCGATTTTGGGAAAATCTTTTACTAGTAGTACTTTCAATAGTGCCCAAAATCGAATTAGTTGTACCTAAGATTACCCCGGACATACAAACTCACATATTTTTACCTCTTTATAATATTAGTATAGCAGAAATGTCGTATGTTAGAACAATTTGATATCCAATTAATCTCACGCCACGTGTTTGCCGCCTTACCGAATTTAACTTAAAAATAAGGCAATTTATTTTGTTTTAAACCGATATTGTTTATGCGCATTAATCTGGCCGTTATTAAAGCTTACTTGACTTTAAAAGTATGTAATAGTCTAAACGAGTAATGACGAACACGTAATTGATGTTACCGAGTCATGAGCCACTCGAGTTATTTGTATTTCTTGGCACGTACCTCGTATAAGGAAAACAAAAGTGGGCTCGCCGCGGGGAAGCATCACTAGTCATGTGCATGTGCATGGCGACATACACGACTGCTTGCGAAACCAAAATGCACCTGCAATTTAAAAATAATAATAATATAGTAATACCCGCACACTTTTGACACATAGTCGTCTGATCCCAATCTACAGAGCTTGTACTATGGCAACCAGACTGCTGATAAACATACTTATATACATATTTCTAAATGCTCATTACACAATAATTTGCCCTGGGTGGGGTTCGAACCCCACGACCTGTGGCTTAGCAGTCAGGATCACTAACCACTAGACCATCCCGTCCATCAAACAAAGACGTGTTTACAGGGTGTAAGGGGCATCGTAACGAATACTGAAATAGTGTATTAAAATCATCATTCTGAGTCGAAAATCATTGAAATTTTCTGCAGGAAAATTCATTTTTTTATTTTCCATATTTTTGGTTAAAAATGATATCGCAATGGGTAAACAGAACATTTTACCATAACCATAATTCAATAAATACCGCATACGGTCAAAAACTGCAATGTAATTAATCAAACAGTCGAAGCGAGCGGGGCTTGGCCCCCGGCCGCCATCTTGTGTTAGTGTGCTTAGACTGTTTGCATGGAATACAACCATAGTTATTACTTTTGTGCGATATCTACGGGGAATGACCTTAATTTGACAGCTGATTGCATAAAACGTTTGATTTTCCGGCTGAAAATTCCAATGATTTTCGACTCAGAATGATGATCTGAATACACTATTTCAGTATTCGTTACGACGTCCCTTACACCTGTATAAAAGAGATATCACGTTAATACCTTCTGTGATGTGATGAGTGAATCCTGAGTTGCTGTCGTTCATGGGCGGCGGTAGTCACTTTTAATCAGGCGACCTGTCTGTTCGTTTGCCCTCTTCCATAAAAAATAATAATACCGGTCTGGCTGTTTTTGGTGATTGAACTGTATGTCATTACAATTGTATGTGTCTTGGAATATTGGTATATAAAAATGTCCGGCCATTGGCACATCTCTAGCTGTGACCAACGTTCCGCGAAACGATAGTAGTCACTGCACAAACATTCGCGATGAACCGCACTCGCGGTCATGTCCTAATAACACACCACCGCACATGGAGCCAGCTCACGAACTTGTGGCAGAAGATTTAATATAGAGCAGATGTCTCCGTTCTTAGCTGCATACGAATATCTAAAAAAACTGAACAGCTAATATAAACAAGTTACCTGTAATGAGTGTATAAATAATCATAAAGAAATGGTCGTGTCCGAATGAAACAAATGTGTACTTACACATATGTTGAAATGGAATTGAGATGACATACCGTATTCGGTTTCTTTGAGCTTCAGAGCTGATACATGAGTAAATGTGGGAGTCTTCAATGGCTGCTGGTTAACTCCTCAGGTTTGGGCTCTTATGGTTTTTTTGACGACTCCAATGCCGTTTGATGAGGTCGTAAAGAGTTAATGAATACAGGTTGTCGTAAACACTGTTGGAACATTTAGTCGTCCACTAGTGGTCTTTAATTTAAGTATAATCTACAATTATGTATTTAGCCTTGGTTTATTTGAAATGTTGTTTGTTAGATGTATACATATGTTGGGAATTAAATATTCAGATTATTTTTACAAATTAAACGTTGTCAAAACAGATAGAGCGATAGAAATAGAAACAAATTCTGTGTTAAAATACTGTAGGTAAATGAGCGCTGTGCAATCGGATTGTACTTCGTTGCATAGAAGTCGAGTTGCTCTATTTACTTAAACGATTCGTGGAGTGGTTCGTAAACCGTAAAATTGTGTTACAGTGGTGAAGCAGCGGCTGCAGATGCTGAACTCGGCGTACCGCGGCGTGTGGGAGTGCGCGCGGCACGTGTACCGCACGGAGGGGCTGCGCGCCTTCTACCGCTCGTACGGCACGCAAGTGGCCATGAACGTGCCCTTCCAGGCGCTGCACTTCATGGCGTACGAGTGGTCGCAGAGCCGGCTCAACCCGACGCGTGCCTACGACCCGCGCGCGCACGCGCTGTCGGGCGCGCTTGCGGGCGCGCTGGCGGCCAGCGCCACCACACCGCTGGACGTGTGCAAGACCGTGCTCAACACGCAGGAGGGCAAGTGGCGCGCCGAGCGCCTGCGCGACGCGGCCGCGCATGTGCTGCGCGCGTCGGGCGCGCGCGGCTTCTTCCGCGGCCTGCAGGCGCGCGTGCTATACCAGATGCCCGCCGCCGCCATCTGCTGGCTCACCTACGAGACCTTCAAGCACGCACTCGCCACGGTGGGTACTCACACACCCTCCTCCCTCACTTACACTCTCTCTTCCTCTACTGTCGTTTAACCCTTCACACGAGCCTGCCGGTTTCGGCTAATTCTAAAAATACTTTGTTCAAACCCTCAGCTATTTGATCGGTGTATGTTATTCGCGGACGACGCATATCGTCGTATACTTACACAAAAGTTCGCTTTACAAAGAAATTTCGTTGTTCATTCGTTCCGCACTCATTTTGTCCGAGTGTCCCAACTCAATAAAACAATCTACAACAAATTAAAAGTTATAGGAATAAAAATTACGAATGCCTAAAAACGGTTCTTAGAGACTGACATCCATACGGGAGACTCGCTCGTAGTTCGCTAGGATCTTACAAGATAGTACTTACACAATGTGGGTCAAACTTAATCGAAACCACGATTATTAAAGATATTTTTGAGTTGCTTATCAATAGAGGTAGAGAGTTAAAAAAAAAACTCATTTCTCAAAAAAAAGCTCAGAGCAATTTCTTTACTTAAATACTGATGAAAGATAAAATATATATTTTACTTAGGTCACGTAGAAGATGTTTAAAATTTAAATAGTTACTGAAATTCTGTTGTAAGTTTAGTTTACCAAAAATACTTAGCGTTTTATTATCGTTACTTTCAAGACACTGAGTACTGCATTACTGTTGTACAAATAATATTGAACGATTACTAAAGACCAGATTACCCGTAAACAATATCACTTGGCCTCTATTCCAGGTCATACTGAAAATACATTGAACGGTAAATAAATCTTGAACCTTTATTCTGAGGTTTAAATAAAACAATATTACAGTGATCAACTACTGGTAGCGTATCAAAGAAATATACATACACTGAAAATATAACGCGCCTGGTGCAGTCGGGTAACAAGACATTACCCAATTGACTGCCCATCACGACCGCCACGTACGAGAGCGGTTCTGCGACGACCGAACGAACTGCTCACAACAGCGATGTCAAGCAAAACGAACAACGTCTTATTTCAATCACTTCACTTATCTTCATGATCTAAATTATTTCATCTTTTTATTATTTAGTCATTTTAATTTAGTGCACCGATCATATCGCATGTAATTTTATTATATTTAATTAGTTTCGGCCGAGGTTTTTATCAGTTTTTTCTTTTTAATTTACTTACTACAAACGCTTTACTTGTCCTTAGGTTCCAACAAAAACGAAAAATTAGTAGAACAATATTGGGCCGCGGCCATAGTTAAAAATAAATGAAATGAAATAGGTAGGTATCTAATCAGAAATCTAATATGTATTTATAAAAGAAAATGCCATTTATTTTCAAAAACATGCTTTAACTTTTATCTAGTTATGGTTTGTTGATTTGATGGACTTTGTTAAGAAACGTTTCACAAAAGTAAAATTGAGCATTTACTTATTAATAAAAGCTTTACTTATTAATAAATATAAACGTTGCCACTATATTTTGTTAGAAAAACTAGTAGCATTTTAGAATCTGGGAGAATAATGTTTAATTATTGGATATGGACAAGGCGCTAATTACCGTGACACTCTCGGATTGCCCGGCCATCCGGCAAGCTCAGACACAGCAGTACAGCACAGCACACCCCGTACAGCGCTTCGCGGTGGACAAGGGCCGACCGAACTGAACTAATTAAATACCTGACTCCTTCATCTTGATCACGTAGCTTAATCAACCTATTTCTTTGCATTCTAGTAAAAGCAGCAACGTACACAAATACAGCTGATCGCCGCCTGAGCTCGTTGTATTGTGGCTGCATTTACACGCGATGTTGCAAATTATGTAAACACAAAAGTTGTGTGTCCTGTGGAGATGAAGATATTGCGTTCATATTGCATATCGTCTAACAATTACATAATGTATTTGGCAAATTATAGTTAAGTTCAACTCATCTACCCATCCCATCAAATAAATGCTGTAATTTATATAAATACGAGAATTTATGGAAATTATTTAAATGACTCACTTAACCTACACGTGTAATATGTGATTACACTTGTCTGCAATTGAAATGTTTTTAAGACAAGGGTAAGGGTTTATAAGATATAAACCCTTACCCTTGTCTTAAAAACATTTCAATTGAATTTGGCAAAATTAAAAGGATCAATTTATGTCTATGTAAGTCGAATTGCATCAATAAGGTATCGTATTCTAAATAACTGTATGAGATAAAATCTAAAAATATATTAATGAGATAGCTTGAGCAAAAACGAGTCGACAAATGTTAGTTGTAGTTCATAAAATAACAGAATTAATATTAAAATTAAATTTAAAGTTTTCAGTCTCTAATTTAAACACCATGAAATAGTAGCTGTTTAATGTTAATTGAACGTGTCTGGTGATATTCTTATTAAAACAACGTGTAGTTATTACGCAGGTTTATTTGAAACTGAACTCAATCATTCGACACGGAGTCGACTGTAAATGTTTAGCTATACATAGCTCATACCGCACAAAACTAGTCAATTTGACTGTAGCAGACATGTTATTACGTCATACGGTTGTGTAAACTAAAAAGAGTCCGTGTCGACTGATCGTATTTGTTTACACAGCCAACTGACGTCATGACATCTGAGCGATGTGGCGTTTATTGCGTCCAGCGTTTTCTTCAAATTACGAGCAAAATTTGAAAAATGTCTCATTAATTTTAATGTCACTCATCGATTGAAAAACATTTTGTGTTTTTTAGTAGTTTATTTACACTATAGAATGTAATCGATGGATATTTTAAGGCTTAAAAACAAAAAATGAATACAACATCCAACGGTCCACTAACCGACACCGTCTTGACACTACATTCTACACTCTTATACGACATCGAGCGGTGCGCCAGACGACTGATGAGCGGTCGTGTTGCAGGTGGACGGCGCGAGCGAAGCGGCGGGCGCGACGCCCACCCCGCAGCCCGCCGCGCACTCCCCGGCCGGGCCCCCGCCCCTCGCCTGCGCCGCGCTGCGCCTCGCCGCCGCGTCCGGCGACGTGTAGGCGCCCCCACCGCCCCTCACCGCCCCGCCGACCTGCCCGACCGCTCCCCTGCCCTCTGAGCGCTTGTAAATACCCCGCCTCACGCGTACGCCGCTGTCCCGCCGAGGCTAGTGTAGATATTTTGTGCGGTTCGGTCGCAGGCTCCGCGCGGGCGTCGATCGTTTCCTCGAGGAGACTCGAGCCGCCGGCGAACCTGACCCTAGCGAGTAAGTTAGCTTTGTATAAAAAAATAAAAACCTAAATCGAGCGCGTAACGTTCTACAGTATTTTAGTTTAAAGCCCCGCCGCGTGATCCCGAGCGATGCAAATCCCCCGTAGCCGACGTGAAGTATCTCCGAGAGACTTCCGCGAAGTGTCCCCCCCCCACTCCCCCTGTACTGTAGCGACGGCCCAGCCGAGCCCTCCCCGGGGCGCCCGTCGCAGTCGGCGGTTCGTTTATTTTGTACATTAATAGAGCGCCGTACGTTTCGTATCGCTCGCTGGGCGTACACAGTCAGATGCTGTTTCGACTCTAGTGAGATTAGTTTAGTGTGTACATTTGTTGTATATGTTCTATACGTTTGCTAGCGTCGCGAGGCCCCCCTGCCTCCCTCCTCTGGCCGGGCCGAGGGCGGGCGGCCTCGCGGGCCTCTTGTTTTTGAATTGTTTTTATGTAAATGATATTATGTTATCGCAGTCTACGATTGCAGCTAATACTTGTTATGATCGATTTTGGCGATAAATTGTTGTTTTGAACATCCTCGCGGATGTAAAATAGTTTGGAGAGGTGCTATGTATGTGTCTGTATATTGTGAAGGAGCCGCTCGGGCCGAGGCCGGCTCGGGCCGCGTCGACTTGTGTTGTTGTTCGTGTACATTACTATTATGATTAATTGTATTTGTTGTATTTATGAGTTGTATATGTGAGAGATGAACTCGTTTTAAATTGAAGAGTTATAAACTTGTATAGATAAGAGGGCGAGCCCCGCTCCCCAGCTGTAAAATTGCAAATTGAAAAGAATATTATAAACTAAACAATAAGTAAATAAAAAGTTGGACAATACGCGCCGCTGTTTCATTTCCTCACCGTAAATCCCATAAACAAAGTTGATGATATTTTTTTTAATACCCAGGCAATTTTATTGATGATAACGGTTTGAGATTTATTGTGTAAGGACTAGAACCTGCAAAACGCTATTCAGTAGAATATGCGTTATAGGTTTTGAACGTTCCTGTTTACACAGACTGAGTTCACAGTTTCCTGTGTTGTTTTTCGCGTTGGGCTTTATTAATATCGTAACGTGTTACGATTCGTTATTTGAAATAAATTACCTTGTGCCACTGATGTGATCTTCTAGAATCTTAATAAAAGAAAATCATTAAGTCAAGTTAAGGTTTTATTATAAACGATCTTACAGTAGTTTTATAATAAACTAAGAGTGCACTAAGTCCAGTCAAGGGACGCGTTCCCATTCACACAGAACAGGTTCCAGCTTTAGTTGGCATCCAACTTATCAGCAAGGCGACTCCTTAGTGCATTATGTACTCTCCAGGATGGTTTCACCACTGGCTCCAATCCCCCGCACGCTCTTATCAGTGACACGGTCAATTTACACCATATTGAAGTGTGTATGACATAAAAATACGCGACATTAAACCAATTACAGATCCTCACTCTTAACTTCAAATTTAACGCAAGAACAGCAAAGTGAATAAAAACATTTTAAATTCTCAATAAATGAAATCAAAATCATAGTTAAAATTAAAAAGAAAATGAAGATTAAAATAAAATCAGAATCTAATTAAAAATCAAAATCTAAATTAATAAAATCAAATCCAAGGCTTAGTCACAATAAACTTTTATAATCTAAATCAATATCGGAATCAATACCAGAATGAAAATCACAATTGAACGTTCTGAAATTGTACAAAGAATTCCTGACTTAGCACCGCCAGAGTACGTCAAAGTTATGTAGCTCGCTAGAAAGGTTTAGGGATTACTAGCTCGCCGGATAAAAATATTTTGGCGATGGTTCGATGGCGCCAAAGGTAAGTAAAAGGAGTATAATGTTTGTTGTTGCAGATTTTACAGGTACATTAATAATAATTTTAGAAAGAAGTTATTAGTCAAGTTTTTTAATGCCAATAATGTACACAACCCTAATAATGTTTATTTTAGTTTTATTACACGACTGCTCGGATGGCGTAGTGGTTTAAGCGGTCGCCAACCCGCTTACTACTACGCCGAGTGCTGTGGGTCCGATCCCCACATGGGACGACACTTTGTGTCCGTTTCATGTATGTTTGCAAAGTCCTCCGCGACACAGGATATATTCAGGAGTTATCTTAAAAAAAAAATACAATACAAATACTTTACTCCTGTGTGATGTAGTAGACCTAAGATAGACCTATTTCTTAGCGTTCCATCACACGATAGATGGGGGCAACACATGCTACTTTGACAGTGCCTGGGAATTGCGACCCAGGAATAGGTTTAGGAAGTCCTGTTTGCGGCGTGTCAGTGTTCACCTCCACTGTCTGCGGTGTAAGCCCATATTTGTAACAAGCCTAGCAATGCCGCTTTGGACATTCGTTCAAAAAAAGAGCTTAATGAAGCTCTTGGAAATCCAAGATTTTTAAGTAGGTTATTGTCCGTGTGGTGACGGATTAGAATACGGAGTGTCATCTACCCTATTCATCCCGTGGCTGTCGTACGAGCCGGCTAAGGGACCAAACTACGCAGGACAACAGCACTGCAATGAGAAGAAAACCGTGAAACAAACCCAATACTAATACTAACACGTGGTCCGTGTGGTGACGCATTAAGAATACAGAGTGTCACCACCCCTATTCATCCCGTGGCTGTCGTAAGAGACGACTAAGGGAAAAAACTAAGCAGGACAACAGCACTGCAGAGAGAAGGAAAACTTGACATAAACCCTATACCAACCCGTCTGGCCAGCGTGGTATAGTAGGCCAAACCCTCCTTTCTCAGGAGAGGCTTATGTCCAGCAGTGGACTATTAAAGGCTGTTGATGATGACTAACACGTCTGGCCAGAGTGGTACAGTAGGCCAAAACCTCTTTTCTAAGGAAAGCCTGTGTCCAGCAATTGACGAGTAAATGCTGTTGATGATGATATTGAAGAAGTAGGTTATTGAGGGATTTAGCTGGTATACCCATCGCACCCATATTCAAGGCATACAACGCAACAAAATAATCATTTTTAGTTATTTCGTTGGTTAAGTCAGAGTACTTGTTTCTTTTTAAAGCGTGGTCTTTAAGTATGTTCGTGTCACACGGTACCGTGAGTTTAGGTTTAGTAATTTAAGGCACTTAATATTCTTCTCAGATTTATGCCCCGAATTAAAAATAATATAAACAAACGAAGCGTGACAGCACATTCGTGTTCAGAAGCAGGGCCTTACCAACAAGCATGCACAAGTTGCAAGTAGCTTATGTCCCAAGTAAGCAAGTCCCAGTATGCGACGGAAGTTTTGCCTCGGTATGCGTTATTATCGTTAATTATTGAAACACAGCTTTCGTGTAAACGATTTGAAGTTATTGGAACCTATGGTAAGGATATTTTTCCAAGTTATAAAGAAATACAGGCTGAAAGACCTATTTCTTAGCGTTCCATGGATTCACAGTGCGGGTGCCGGGTCCATCGCGTGGTAGATGCGGGTATGCGACTTATTATATATATGTATATATTCTTAACATGTTTGGTTCAGTTATGACTTACGGGTGAAGAAATTGAAAATCAATTTTCCAACACAACAAGCTTTTTCGTATTATCTACATGCCTGCATTAGATCGTTTGAATTTGCAAGGAAAACATCAAGAACAGACAACCTTACCGACATAATCAATCGTTTGTTCATTTCTTCCGATCCAGTTATATTATAACCCGTAACCGTAAGTTACCTTATTACAAAAAAAAATATACTTTGTAAATGTCGAATATGCTCAAATAAAAATTATAGACACAAAGATCACACAAAAATAGTTTTTATTAAGTTTTGCGCATGAACACTTATTTTCTAGTATAATTTGAGTTTTGGGTACGACTGTCATGTACTCGTATACCGCCCCAGTGTGCAACGTTACGTATTCTTTAGAGACAGAGTGAACGTCAGTGTCTATGATAGTGTTAACTGTGTTACAGAGACACTGGCGCCTTCCTCTTACAGTTTATGTGACATTAGTTGGTTTATCATAGATAAGATGAGTAGCTGTTAAAAACTTAATCAATACAGATCACAATAATATAATTGGTTATTATGCAAAAGTATACCTACGTGTGGAAGTCGACACCGTGGTCACCACACATGCAGGGAATCGTCAGGGGGAGATGTCTGTGGGGACGTCCCAGGTATCTATGTATAGGGCTCATAAAAAAAAATTAGCTTCAAAATAAAATGATACTTTTGCAAATCATAATTTAATGAATATTTCATTTCTAGCGTTCTTTGATGAACTTCAGTTGAGGTCCAAAAGAAAGTAATTGTACTTACTGAAAATCATTAAATATTTTTATTTATGCGTAGTTTGATGAATTGGAACTAAGGTCCAAAAGTAAGTGATAGTTTTAAAAATCATAACTTGATAAACATTTTATTTTGAACTTCTTTAATGGACTGTAACTTAAATTCGATACCTTTGATTGGACCTTCTATATTTCATACAGCGTGTGTAGCTTCAATCATCTTTTAATAAAAAAGAACAAAAAAAGTTTTAGATTATAATAATAATAACCTCACACATCTCACACACGGCCGTCTGATCCCAAACTAGGCAGAGCCTGTGCTGTGGTAACCAGACTGCTGATAAACATACTTATATATTTTTAAATACATTAATTAAATAGATTAGATATAGGTTAATTAAATTAGATAAATGACCGTGCTCATCACACAATATTTGTCCTGGGTGGGAATCGAACCCACGACCTCCCGGCTTAGCAGTCAGGGCCACTAAAAACTAGACCAACTGGCTCGTATTTCTTTTGCTTTTTCTCGAAGGAAAAAATAATTACCTACACGAATTGAACCAATTAATGATACCTAAACAAACCATCGCAGCTCGGATATGGTTGTCGTCACTTTCTTTTGGACTTCAGTTGTAGTTCGTTAACAAAAGCTAGGAATGAAATATTCATCAAGTTATGATGTTTAGAACTATCACTTACTTTTGGACACTTTCAACTCAGTGACCACTCGTTGTTCGCACTCTTGTCTTGTGGTCCTGAACGGATCGCGCGTCGCCCGCGAGTAGTTCACGCGTGAGGTCGATGAGTCGACGAGCGACGATGGCGATCCCTGACAAACTACTCATCTATTTAGCATCACGGGGCATTTAGCATCCACCCGTAGATCACCCGACGCTCACTGGTTGACAAAGCAGCCTCCACCCGTAGACCACCTGTCGACAACGAGGGGACTCAGAGCGACGAGGTGGTGCTGGTCGGGTGTCGGGTGGGTCTAATGAGCTATTACCTTTAGTCAGCTCGAGGGTGGTGTGGTATCCGGGAGGAGGAAGTGGGAAAAAAGTGTTTCAATTACATCAATTTCTTTGAGACGTTAGTTCTATTATCTCAATATTCATAAAGTTATGATTTTTAAGACTATCACCTATTTTGTTACGTCTTTAATAATCAACGTTTGGCAACAGTTCGATCAACTAATTATTTTGAAACGTCTTTGATCATAAACTTTTGGCGACAATTCAATCAGCTAGTTTATGGGCACTTGTTTCTGTATTACGTTGACGAAACGTCTGGCTCCTTTTGTTAGAACCCGATTTATTTATTACATTTTTGTGCTTTCTTATTTTTTTCATATCTGTATAATGTATACCGTGGAAGGCAGATGAGCAAGTCTTATCAATTAAATATGTAAGGGTATTTAACCACATCCGAGTGCTTCCTAAAGACTCAATAATAGGGTGTAACTTTTCACGATCCAATAAATATTCTAAACTGTGGGTACTTGTTGTATGATTTGCATTATTAATTTCTTTTAAAATTCGATCCCTCCTAGTTTCTCTGTCCTTTCATCGCAAATGATTTGGAATAATGTGTCTCACCTTTTATTAATCTCTGTCTGTGGGCCAATTATTGAACAATGTACTAGGATTGAGGCCCTTTGGGTTAGCTGCAGCCAAATTAACAAGATTTTGGAGACTAGTTTTCACTGACTGACGCTGTTCTAACATAGTATTAGTCATGCGAGTCATTCTCCGTTGAATATAAATAATCCTTTTGTTTCTTAAAATAGCACAATTAAAAGTAAAAATAACTACAAATAGTGGGTAGTTCTTAAATTAATTAAGGATCACAAATACCCTTTTTCTTTCAACGCTGTGTTTTAGAGACATAAATATTACATATTTTAGAATCTAATTATGATATTATTAATATTTAATTGATTAGTAAAAAAAAACTTAATGTAAACGGTTTGAATTTTATTTCTTTTATGACGTAATTGATACCTATCAGTACGAACAATTACACTTAAGTCTGCTGGCGCTGGGGGTATACTACAGTCAGTCACTAAAGATATCAAAGCGTGGCGGTGAAAGGGTTAAGAGAAAGGAAGCCTCTTTGACCAGTTAACAACCGTTCTACATTGTTCTAAGATTTGTTGAAGTACTTTAGTTTGAGCAATGTGTAACATTGTAAAGGATTTCGGCTGCATTTTAATAGCCGCTCGTCTTACGCCTACCCTTATCAGACGGACGGAAGTAAGGGAGAGTGGAGTCCATCGGAATTCCATGCAACTTACAAAACTTTCACCGCTTCACCGTGTTATGTTTATAATAACAGTTAACTTGACACATCTCACGCAAATGAAGAGCGTAGAACATTTTCAAGTCTTTATTCATTATTAAACGGTTGACCGTTAAAATACAACTCTCAATATATTCGTCAGAAAAATTGCTAAAAAAATATAATTATTATGCAGCAGTGTACTCGAGAGGGCGGCGGCGGCGTTCAGCACAGGTCCACGTGCACGAGCCCGTAGTGCGCGGCCAGCGCCAGCAGCGGCGCGGCCGTGGGCGGCGCGGGCAGGGCGCCGGCGCTGGCCGCCACGTCCAGGTGCGTGTAGCGCAGCGCGCCTCGCTCCAGCGCCGCCACCAGCAGCAGGAAGGCGGCCGGCGCCTGGTGGCCGCGCGGCAGCGCGCTGGACGCCGCGTTGTCGGCCTGGTGCACGTGCTCGCCCGCCGCGCGCCCGCGGTGCGCCGCCAGGTCCTCGCGCCGCAGCGTGGACACCTCCAGCATGTCGCCCAGCGCCGCGCCGGCCGCCTGCAGCGCGCGCGCGTGGTCCAGCGCGCGCGCCGCGTGGTTGTCGAGCGCGGCCGTGTAGCCCGCGCCGTACGCGCGCACGGCGTGGCCCGTCAGCGTGGCCACCGTGTACAGGTGCGGCTCCTTCTCGCTCGGCGCGCGCTCCGCCATCTGCGGACGGAGAGGATCGGGTCAGCGCGGTCGGCCGGGACGAGAAGTCGAGGGACCGGAGCCCGGAGACGCACCTCGGCGAGAAGGTCTCCCATGACCATGCGGCCCTCGGCGTCGGTGTTGCCGATGCGCACGGCCAGCCCGCTCCTGCTGCGAATGAGCTCGTCGGCGACGTAGGCCTGCTCGCCGACGGAGTTCCGGACCATGCCGAGCGAGGCCACCACCTTGACGTCGGGCTGGAGCAGCTCGCACGCTTTGACGAAGCCGACGATGGCGGCGGCGCCGCACTTGTCTCGCGACATGCCGGCCATCACGCCGCCCGCCTTGATGTCGCACCCGCCCGTGTCGAACGTGACGCCCTGGTACGCGTTGAGATTTGAAGAAAATATTTTTTGTTTAATCAGAATCTTTAATATAATGCAGGCGTTTAAAATGCAATTTTTTTATGTAGGAGGAATACGATTAGACGAATCGAGCGAGTATCCTCCCCCCACCAAAATTAGAGTGAAGAGAGGTCGAATCTCCGGTAAACTCACTCACTCTATGAAAAGCAACGAGAGAATTGCCTAACACCGTATCTCTGCGTGGGCGAGGTATCACTGCGGTAGAGAAGGTCCGTGTGCGCCAATAAACTTACTTAAAAGACAAGAAGATGATGTTTCGATAGGGTCCTTGGGTCTTCAATATTTATTTATTTATTTAACTTAATGCACTAGTTGTACAAAGGCGGACTTAATGCCCAAGGCATTCTCTGCCAGTCGACCTTCGGGTGATGTAGAAAAATGAAGCTGTAGGTGCAAGAGAAAACAGAGAATTTGACTTGTTTATATTATTAATGTTGGATAAATCTAACTTACATATATACACTACCACTATAAATACTATAAATAAAATACTATATTCATAACTACATATATACATAGAGGTCTCAAGTATACACATACAATAGGTGAATATTATAACGTTGTAAGTTTTTTTTTAATTATTTTTGAAAATCAACCCTTACCTTGCCTACGAGCATGACTGTTCGCTCATAGTTCTTCGGCACGTACTCCAGGAAGATGACACAACCTGTTCCAACATTCAAAGTAATTAATTATCACACGAGCACTCGCCACGTACCGCTCGGTAATGGGGCGCGCTCGCACCGACTAGTTACAAGCCACAGATTATCCCTTAATAGATTCCGCATACAGGGCCACAAAGGCGCGCAACACATACTTGCTGTAGCTAGCATACGTCGTGACGCTAAGAATCACAACATCAGTAAAGACCAAGTTTGTGACCCGTACGCACGTCCGAGTTCTTGATAATTTAAAATAGTTTTATTTCAAAATATATTAGAAATGGCTTCCTGTACAGTGAAGTCGTGCCCTGGCATGGCAGCAAAGACCGCTAGTTATCAAAACGATACCATAACATCTTCATCGGTAAATTAATTATATTCGTATCACGTTAATCTATTTTAACCGAAATTCAACAATAATTTACCGGAGTTCAGGTACTGGTGCAAAGTAATAACAATTAAGCACACCGTAAGCATCAAGCAGTACCGTAAGTAAATACAATAAGACAAAGACAACTACTGTATAAGTATCGACAGTGTTGTGACTTATGTGATTAAAAAAAAAATAGTGTGATATGCTCAAGACACTTCACAGAAGACAATCTTCATATCATGAAAAACTGTAGAAGGCTATCGGAAGACAAGGAAGACAGATCCTAAGGATTCTGTGAGACGTATTTATACTAAGCTCTATTTTAAAAATTAGTAACAATAATAATAATCGCTCCGCCGTGCAGTCCCCGGAAGTCACAACACAAGTCCCGGTGATTACAGAGGCGTCGAGCTCGACTTCAAGCGACGAGTTTTTCTCCCCACCAACGTCGCCAACACCTGTACGTCGGCAGGGGAGAGGTCGGCCACCGGTTTGCCTGGGATCCCGAGGCCCATCGGCTTCGAATAGGGCCCCCGCTATCGGTGGTAATGTGCGTCGCATGAAATGGACTTCTTCAATGAACGAGAACGTCATGCGAGCATATTTTGTGGCTACAGAGGGTGAAACTAATCTCACTGCGTATCGTAATCGTTTACTAACTCTGTTTCAGGAACTTGAACCAACTGTTAACGTTACGGTGCAAAGGTTATCGGATCAAGTGCGAGCTATTAAGCGATGTAATTTGTTGAATAGCTCTGTACTTGAAAGGCTACGCTCCGACTTACAGATAAGCCTCACTACTTTTCCTTCTTCACAAGCAGTCACGCATCAAGATCTCGAAATACCACAGGCTTCTCCTGCTGAAGGAGAGGAAATTGATGCTTCTTCTGTAAGTACCCAGTACAATGATATAATAAGGAATACTTTGGAAGGTGCTATCCTGGAATATGGGTCCATGAATTTCGTAAACAGACCACGTTTACCTCGTTTGCCGATGCATAAGCGAAATAAGGCGTTAGTGTGTGCCCTTGATTCTATATTACCACCATATTTTGAAAAATGTGAAAACCTCAGTAATACACATTCAATTCTATATTGTGCGGCCGTTACTGCATGTCGAGTAGCTGGTGTCAAATTCTCAAGAGTTGACATGGCTCCTAGACCTAAGTCTCTGGTGCCGTCGTGGCAGTATAGAATTGAACGTCGTATCGCTGAGGCAAGGGTACTCATTGGCAAGCTTATCTGTTTCAGATCGGGCAACACACGCCCGAGAGTAATGCGCTTTGTGAATCAGGCTTTTTCGGGAACTGGTATCAGGTTCTGTGATTATATGGCACGAGTCACAGAGCGCATTGACTTTCTGAAACAGAAGGTTTATGCATGGGCAAACCGTATACGAAGGTATAAAAAAAGAGTGGACCGATATACTCAGAATCGCACATTCCAAAGGGACGAGAGGTGGGTTTATAGACGGTGGGCGCAGCCTGATTTAGTGAGTGATGGACATTTTCCAGATGTTAAAATTACTAATACATTTTGGCGTAACATATGGTCGATGCCTATCACTCACACAGAGGGTGAATTGATGCGAGATGTCGAACGATCGTGTGAGTCAATCAAAACAATGGAGCCAGTATCAATTTCAGATATGGATATAGCTTATGCAGTTCGTTCGCTACCGAATTGGAAGTCAGCAGGACCGGACGGACTGCATAACTTTTGGTTAAAGTGGCTCCGTAGCTCACATGTACGTTTGGCATCTCATTTTCAATCATGCCTAGAATCAGGTTCGCTTCCATCTTTTATGACTACAGGACTAACTCACCTAGTCTATAAATCTGGTAGTGCCACGGATCCCAAAAATTATAGGCCAATAACGTGTCTTCCGACGTTATATAAATTACTAACGTCCATTCTTAGAGTGAAGATAACATCTCATATTACGAACAACTCTATTATATCTCACTCTCAGAACGGATGTAGAGGTGGGGCACGTGGCACTAAAGAGCTCCTTATTATTGACATGACTATTAACCAACAAGTTCGTCGTAACCGAAAAGATCTGTCGACATGTTGGATAGATTATAAAAAGGCTTATGACTCTGTACCGCATACGTGGCTCTTGAGGGTGATGGAGTTGTACAAGATTGATACAACTCTATGCACTTTTATGGAGACATGTATGCGGCAATGGAGAACGGTTCTTTGCTATCCAGGATGTCGGCAATCTCAAGGCGATGGCGAATATATAATGATTAAGCGGGGTATATTTCAGGGTGACAGTTTAAGTCCCTTGTGGTTTTGCTTAGCTTTAAATCCTCTCAGCACTATGTTGGAGGGTTCAGGGCTAGGCTATCGTTTGCAGAGAGATGGTAAGGTTATATCCCACCTCCTTTACATGGATGATTTAAAACTGTTTGCTTCCAGTAGTTCCATACTGATGAATTTACTAGAAATAACTAAAACCTTTAGTGAATGTATCAGGATGGAATTTGGTGTAGATAAGTGTGCAATCATGCATGTAAAAAGAGGCAGGGTTGTGGAGTCTGATAGGTTGGAACTCTCAGATTCCACGCACTTTACATGTCTCTCAGCTAACGAAACTTACAAATATCTGGGTATGTCACAGGCGTTAGGTGTAAATGAGTTGACTATGAAACAATCGTTACAGGAACGCTTCTTTAGCCGCCTGAAAAAAGTATTAAATAGTCTTTTATCAGGTGGTAATAAGGTGAGAGCCTATAATGATTGGGTCATACCAGTTCTAACTTACTCTTTTGGCATACTTAGATGGACTCAGACTGAACTAGATACCCTAGATAGAAGAGTTCGTACATTGCTTACTGTATACCGAATGCATCATCCACGTTCATCGGTGATGAGGTTATATATTCCACGAAAATGTGGTGGTCGTGGTTTTCTAAATGCTAAGACCCTCCACAATCGTGAGATATGTAACCTTAGGAATTACTTCCTGTCTGTTGATGTGGATATGCATAGGGATGTAGTAGCAGTTGATAACGGACTCACTCCGCTTGGTCTAGGTAAAGAGAACTGGCGCAAATTTGCAGTACTCAACATTACTGATCGTAAGGAGATATGGAAGGGCAAAGAGCTGCATGGACGTTTTTATCGAGCCTTGAACAGGCCTGAGGTAGATCAACTAGCGTCTGTATTCTGGCTTCGATTCGGTGACCTCTTCGGGGAAACTGAAGGTTTTGTCTTTGCAATTACTGATGAAGTTGTTATGACGAATAATTATCGGAAGTATATCCTGAAGGACGGCACAATAGACATTTGTCGGGCATGTCATTGTCCTGGTGAAAGCCTTAGACATATAATTTCCGGTTGTTCTCGTCTTGCCAACGGCGAGTACTTGCATAGACATAACCAAGTGGCCAGGATTGTCCATCAGCAACTTGCTCTTAAGTATAACCTTGTGACTGTAGAGTTACCGTACTACAAATATGTGCCCGACCCAGTTCTTGAAAATGGTCGTGCAACGTTGTACTGGGATCGCCCTATTATCACTGACAGGACTATAGTTGCCAATAAACCTGATATAGTGGTAATAGACCGATTGGAGCGCCGAGCAATGATTGTTGACATTACCATTCCACATGACCGTTGTACCGATAGTCATATCGGCCCATGGATTAGTTGCTAAGAGCCTCGACCAACATCTTCAGAGGCTCGCGTTAGGCAGTTGGATTAAGGGTCTGATGCAGAAAGCAGTTCTTCTCGATACGGCACGTATTGTGAGGAAGTTTCTGTCTCTGGAGTCCTAACCACCGATATCTTGGTCTCTGTACCCGATACCGATGGGATACTATTTTTTATATTTTTAAATGTATTTTATTTTTTGTTATTGTATATAAATATATTTAAAAATGTAATTTATATGTATAAAGAATGAAATAAAGAAATAATAATAATATAAGTAAAAAGTAGTAGTAGTCGTAGGGAAGTATGGAAGGGCAAAGAGCTCCATGGCCGGTTTTATCGGGCCCTAAACGGGTCCGATATAGACTTTAAAGCATCTACGACTTGGCTACGGTATGGTGATCTCTTCGGAGAAACTGAAGGTTTTGTTTGTGCGATTATGGACGAAGTTATCATGACGAATAACTATCGGAAATATATCCTGAAAGATGGTACGGTTGACATCTGTCGGGCATGTCACCGTCCTGGGGAATCAATCAGGCATATCATTTCTGGTTGTTCTCGTCTTGCTAACGGTGAATATTTGCATAGGCACAACCAAGTAGCCAGGATTGTACACCAACAGCTTGCCCTTAAATACCATCTTGTGAATCTAGAGGTGCCATACTACAGGTATGTGCCCGACCCAGTTCTCGAGAATGGTCGGGCCACGTTGTATTGGGATCGATCTATTATCACAGACAGGACTATTGTCGACTATTGACTATGTTGCTAATAAGCCTGATATTGAAGTGATAGATCGATTAGAGCGCCGCGCAATGATTGTTGATATCGCCGTTCCTCATGACGAGAATCTCGTGAAAGTTGAAAAAGAAAAACAAATAAAATATTTGGATTTATCTCACGAGATTGTCGATATGTGGAATGTCGATTCAGTGATAATTGTTCCGATAGTCGTATCTGCTCACGGATTGATAGCCAAGAGCCTCGACCAACACCTTAAGAGGCTCACGTTGGACGGCTGGATCAAGGGTCTGATACAGAAGGCAGTCCTCCTTGACACGGCTCGTATAGTGAGGAGGTTCCTATCTTTGCAGTCCTAACCACTGGTGTCTTGGTACCTGTACCCGATGTCGGTGGTCTACTATTTTTTATATTTTTAAATGTATTTTTATTTCTTTTGTAATATATTTAAAAATGTAATTAATATGTATATATAATTTAATAAAGAGAATAATAATATTCTACCACATTCACACACAGCCATCTAGTCCCAAACTAAGCAGAGCTTGTACTATGGCTACTAGACAACTGATATAAATACATATATACTTTTTTTTTGTAAATACATACGTATTATACATTTGATTTTTAAATATATATAGTGAAATATATATTTAAAAATCAAATGTAGAAAGAAATCTGTGCGTCCTGTGATGAGTGATGTAAGTTGAGTTATACCCTTTTTGATTTTTACCTGCAATTATTCCGATAAAAAGTTTTTTTTCTGTATACTTTCAGGCGCTCTCGGCCATCTCTCTTCTCAGGCTAGTATACCCCAAGAATTCGGCGAAGGCAGCGGTTAACGAAGACCTGCAGCCGGTTCGAGATGGCTTTTGTGACCTTCCACGTTTCGCACCCATATAGCTGTACTGATTTTACGTTGGACCCGAATACTTTGATTTTAATCCTCCGAGTCAGTTTTCATGACTGCCACACGGGCCGGAGTTGTGTGCGAAGGCAGCTCGGGCTTTGGCAATGCGTGAGGTGATGTCCTACTCTGTACCCCCTGTTTCCGACACGACGCTTCCGAGGTAGGTGAAATTGTGGACGCGTTCCACGTCCTTGGAATCAATCCGCAGTGGTGTGCGAGTTTCTACACCAGATCGCATCTCCTGGGTCTTTCGGGTATTGATTTTAAGACCCGTGATACCTGCCTCTCGATGCAAGTTGTGTAATTTGGACTGCATATCGCGGTGCGTATGACTCAGCAGGCAGAGGTCATCGGCATAGTCCAAGTCTTCTAGGACATCCGTTATACCCCATTCTATCCCACGTCGCTTGCTCTGAAAGGCGCGATGAATAATCCCGTCGAGGACAACTAGAAAGAGGAGAGGTGAAAGCAGGCAACCTTGTCGAACGCCCGCATGTACTTCGATGTCTTCGGAAATGAGGCCATCGTGTGTAAACTCTCTACAGGAATATTTCCTATAGATGGTCTTCAGTAACTTGATGATCTTCGGTGGGACACCAACGTCGGAGAGTCGAGACCATATGCTTGTCCACTTCAGAGTGTCGAAGGCTTTTTGTTAGTCTACAAAGGTTAGGTACACCTCCCGTTGCCATTCTGATGCCTGTTCTAGGATGATGCGCGGTGTTGATTTGGTCGATGCACGATCGGTTCGGGCGAAAGCCAGCCTGCTCTTTGCGAAAAAGAGGTTCGACGGCCCCCGTTAGCCTGTCCAGGATAATCTTGCAGAAAACCTTCGACAGTACCGAGAGCAAAGTGATTTTTTAGGCACGGTTATGAGCAGCCCGTTGTTTCAGTCACCTGGAAGTTCTTCCTTCGTCCAGATTCTCTTGATAAGGGGTTCCAAGACTTCAACGGACAAGTCCTCATTCAGGATTTCCGCAGTAACGAGGTCCAGTCCTGGAATCTTGCCAATTTTGAGAGTCTGGATAGCCTTGGCCACATCGTGAGTTGGTGGATCGACGTTGATGTCCAGAAGCCTAGATGGAATGGAGCGATGGTCGTGCTTCTTGTTTATCGTGAATATTGATATAATTAAAATTATATCAATTTGAACAGATCTAAATCTGCTTACCATTCAGTCAAATTACAAAAATTGTAAAAAAATAAGTAAACAAATCTCATCTTCTAATGACTTATTAGATGTTTGTACTTCATCATCAGCCTACTGCCGTCAACTGCTGAACGACGAATTTGTACTTGTATTAATAGCAATACAATGTAGACAGTTTATATACATACATTGATTTTTTTATACATATCCAATAAACATTGATCAATATAATTATTTATCAATAAATCAAAATTAAAATAAATATCAATAATTCCGAATTCTTCGATCAACAAACCATTTTATCGATCAACGTCCCAACCCTGTCCCAGCACTATGTTTCGGCGCATTCTAAGTTTGACCTTCAAATATCCAATCACAGCGCATGTGACACGTCCCCCGCAACCCTTGCGTACCGCCAAATTTGGTGAACTCGCATAAGAACAAATATTCAATAATGCGGAATCTATTAGGGGGTAATCTGTGTTACAGGCACTCGTACGTGTGTGACGAGGGACCGTATTGAATCGTTTACATTATCCAGCTAAAAATATTATAAAAGAGTTACAGGGAAGTGTAGTCACAATTAAAGCACACACCACCCAAATAATGTTTTCCGACGATAGTGTAAATTTTCGACATTCGATTTTTACCTTTGGTGATGAATAAACAACAATTCCAGAATAAACGGCTCATGCGAAAAGACGATGTGTTTGATTGACCTCAACAATCGATTTGCCCGATAAATCGAATTTACAAATATATCTGGTTTTCTTCCTCCCATAAACATCTGTACGAGCTGCGCCATAGATGAGCCTTGTGTTCAAGCGTTACACTTACGCTCAAGTGTCGCAATCACCTGTGTTTAGCATTTAGTTTAATTCGTGTTAACATTCATCATCATCATCATCAGCCTATCGCAGTCCACTGCTGGACACCCTGGCCTCTTACATTGCACGCCACTTAGATCGATTTTGGGCTTCTCACATCCAGCTCCTGCCACCACCTTGCGCAAATCGTCACTCCACCTGGCCCGTGGGCGTCCTACACTACGTTTGCAGAGAAGCGGTCTCCACTCAAGAACTCGTTTTCCCCAACGGTTATCGGTTCTGCGGCTAATATGGCCAACCCACTGCCACTTTAGTTTGCTGACCCGGTACGCTATGTCGGTGACCTTGGTTCTCTGCCGGATCACCTCATTTCTGATGCGATCCCTTAGAGAAACGCCGAGCATAGCCCTTTCCATAGCACGTTGAGCGACTTTGAACTTGTGGACCAGCCGTACCGTAAGTGTCCACGTTTCAGCTCCGTATGTCATGACGGGTAGGACGCACTCATTAAAGACTTTCGTCTTAAGGCACTGTGGGATCGACGATGAGAAGACTCGACGTAGCTTCCCAAACGCTGCCCAACCCAACCGAATTCTTCTGTTCACCTCGTCCTCGAAGTTGTTTCTACCTAACTGCAATGTCTGCCCGAGGTACACATAATTTTGAACAACTTCGAGAACGACACCGTGTACCGCAATCTGTTCCGGTAGTACATGTTCGTTGAACATGACCTTGGTTTTATCCAAGTTCATCCGTAGGCCGATGCGTACAGAAGTGTCAGCTAAGTCATTCAGCATTTGCTGTAGGTCCTGCAACGTCTCTGCCATGATGACGATGTCATCTGCAAATCGCAAGTGAGAGATGTATTCGCCATTGATATTGATGCCACGCCCTTTCCAGTGCAGCGTCTTGAACATGTCCTCCATTGCATTTGTGAACAATTTCGGGGAAATAACGTCCCCTTGTCTCACTCCTCGATGCAAAAATTATTATAATGTTAACACGCATCGAGGAGTGTTAACATTATAATAACTTTATTTTTGGTAGCATTAAAACCTTAGCACCGAGTACACGTCTACCCATTTACCTTAGCATTATCAAACGTCGTCGGGAATCAAAGTAGTGCACACGAGTTACTAGCACACGCGGAGTGGGTATCGGTTAAAGACCCTTAAATAGACCACATCTGCGACTTTTAATGAGGTGCAGTCACAGTCGGCACCTCCAAACGATGAGATATTTGTGATGCCGATGATGTTCGATATCGCAGATATAATTTATCTCGACGCCACGAAACGCCCACCTCACATCCTCAGTGGCAAATCAAAAACGAGTAAAGTTGTTTTAAAGCTACAAGCGATCGTTAGGTCGTACCGCGGTGTCTCTCGACGGTGGCGGCGGCGCGGTCCACGGCGGCCAGCAGCGGGTACTGGCGGCGCAGCTCGGCCGGCTCGTCCAGCACGCGCACGCTCACGGCGCTGGGCGGCGCGAACAGCTCGCGCACGTACTCCGCCGCGCGCAGAGGCGTCATGCGCTCCGGGTCCGCCCCGCCGATGTCGCGCGCCGCGCCCCTGCAACCACTCACGTCACTAGCGTACTACCGCGTCACGTATACACCTCGTGTATCGAAACGAGTTTATTATTTACGTAACGAGGAACGTCAGTCGTACCCAAAACGTAAAGACAAATAAATAAAACACAGCAGTGTGTGTGGCCAGAGTTGAGCTCACCGCGAGATCTCGAGCGCGACGCCCTCGGCGAGCAGGCGCGAGAGCGGCGCGCGGGTCCCCTCCCCGTACACGCCCAGCGCCTCCACCTTGTGCGCCTCCTCCGGGAACGACTCGCGGATCTGCAGCGGCTGCGGACGTACGCCATCTATTAAACGTCAGCGGCGACGTTGTCGTCTCGATCCTCGGGGGGTTTAGGTCATAGCGCATTAGACCCACGCGACGCCTACCGGCACCGCTTCGTGTCCACGCGTCATCGATAACGTCGTGAACGTCGAGTGGGCCACGAGTGGACGCCGCGTTGCGTTATCCGAGAATAGAAGATTAGTTCGTCAGGAATCGTCACTCGATAGCACTCACCACGTAGAGCGCCTCGAGAGCCCCGAGTAGCGTGACGAGCTCTGCGTTGGGCCACGAGGAGTGCGGCTGAAGCGCTACGAGCGGGCGCAGCGAGCCCGCCGCCACCGCGCGCTGCACGCCCGCCAGCGCCGCCTCGCCGACACTCCTGCGAACGGACCGAACGGTCAGCTTAAGAGTGTTCTACGAGTAAGAGTTACTGCCGGTTTACTCGCCACAAAGACGCGTGATACGTGTGCGACAAACGCTTACATGGATTCGCTTAGTGTGCCTGATACGGACTCGCCAAATATTTTTTATTTAAAAAACTAAGGTTTTCAAACAAACCCGTTATTAAATTATCATGTGCGGGTCGCTCACCTGACGTCATCGTAGGCCGTGAGGGGCCCGGTCGGCGACACCACGAGTCTACCGCCGGACACGCGCGGGCACGCCAACACGGACACGTTCTGCATCAGATACAAACTATTTATATTACCGACACCTCAGTAACACTGCCATGTTATCTACGACTTACATAGGTAAGCGTTGTACCCGCACCTGGGTTCAAGTGGAAAGAAGGTGGATTCATCTTAAATAATACCCTACATACGCCTAATACGTTGCTTAATTTTTTTAAAGTTTCAAAGAGTCGTACTAGCATAGATAAGTATTTAGCTATGCTAGTACGACAACGATTTATTATCTTGGGGAGCGAGTTTAAGCAAGTAGATAGTTTGGTACCTTGTCGAGGCTGGCGTCGAGCTGTCGCGCCGCGGCCACGAAGTCTTCGAGGGCCTGCGGCGGCAACACGCCTTCGGTGGAGACCAGCACGAGCGCGTCGTACTCGGCGCTGTTCACCTCGCTCACCGCGCGCACCGGCACGCCATGTACCTCCCATGATTCGACCCCCATACTCGCTCACTGGAAATAAGCACCGCCCATTCTACATGTGGCTACACACTCTATATGTTCTAACAAATGTTAAGCAGGACGGTAGGACGAGAACGTTTTGTAGAACTGAAGACGTCTAGCAAGTGCTTAATGTTTTAGAATCCATTCCATAGAGCCATTTCAAGATATTAGCTCGTTGAATCAAACAACATAAATACTATGTTACTTTTACAACACTTTCTTATCCACTTTTTTTTAAATGACAAATATTACCGTAAACTTGAATACTGTAATAGTGTATTCAGACCATCATTCTAAGTCGAAAATCATAGGAATTTTCTGCAATTAAAAGTTTTATGTAATCAGCTGTCAAACGTAAAGGTCATTCCTCGTAGGTATCGCACAAAAGAAATAACTACATTTACAGGTATTTCCGGACCGATACGACCTTCAAACCTTCAAGAAAAGAGCGTACTCCTTCTTAAAAGGCCGGCAACGCGTTTGTGACTCCTGAGTTGCAGACGTTCCTGGGCGGCGATGGTCACTCTCTATCAGATGACCCATCTGATCGTCTGCTCCCTCTGATATATAAAACCGTGCAAACAGTCTACGCACACTAACACAAGTTATTTGATTAATTACATTGCATTTTTGTCTTTATTAAATTGTTGTTGTGTTTATTAAAAATTTATAGGTAAAATGTTCTGTTTACTCATTGTGATATCATTTTTAACCAAAAACACAATTACCTAATGAAAAATTATAAAAAATATGAATTTTCCGGCAGAAAATTCCAATGATTTTCGACTTAGAATGATGGTCTGAATACACTATCACATGTTCGTTACACCGTCCCTTACACCCTATATAATAATACAGAAAAACAAATTGTGCTTTATTTTGACACTATTGGAAAAACGGTGGTAACCCTACTTGTGTACTTTACTTGGTTGATGCACCATTTTGGTCAGCAACTTCCTGATGCTCGAACATAGTGCAATGCAATTTTGGTTCCAAAATATTCTACACTCAACTTAAGTACTATCCTAAAGCAAAACAAGTGTGAATGGAAACTGTTCCGAAGTACGATAACTGCAGCTGCTCTTATCTCAACTCATTTGTAATAAAAGTGTCACAATGCTATTGGAAAAATATGACGTGTGTTTCTACTACTTGGCTCTGGCTCGTACTTAACTAGAGGAACACGTTTCTCAGGTTTAGGATCATTTATTTCTCACAAAGAATAACATTAACTATTCACTTACATGAGCAAAACAAATTACAGTTTCATTGATTTAGCTGTGATACAGAAAAAAGTTGAAACAAAATTACAACAAAACAATTTCTTACACAAATATAGTGAGGGTAACTTAAAAACATTACGCATTCCACAGTGGTCGAGCGTGCCTAGAAGTGACAAACAGTTTGTACAAACTACAATTTACTTTTACATATATTGCACTATCAAAACTATTATCTGCTAGTTATGGTAAAATTTGATAATACAGTGAGCTTAGTACATATTTCGTTGATTATTAATTATTATATTGTGTATCTTATTTGTTAACATTGTATATTGATTTAGATTCACAGTTAAATATTTTAATATATTAGCATTAGTGTATGTAGTCTCATTCTTAATTTAATTATTTATTAAAACGAAGATAATATATTTATAAAAATATATAAACTTATAAATTTATGTAATAAAATATATAAATTAATGCAATAGATAAACATTATGATTTATAAAAAGTGCATTAATGCTTGTATTACGCGTATTTATCAGTGATGTGATACTTTAATAAAAAAAAATGTTTGTATATTTATCGAATCTTTTACCACATTAGGCAGCTGATTATAGATTTTAGCACCTTTATACATAATACACCTCTTTCCATAATTTGTTCGTGATTATAACAGAAATATATCATTCCTACTCCTAAGACCGACTCTATGCACATCCTTTTTAATAAATTAAATTTTATTTGCGTATGTATATTATTGGTTAGTATTTTTCTTATAAGTATACAATTTTTATATTTGTATGTCTGTAGAACAGTCATGATTTTGGTTTGTAGATTTTTGAGTAGACGTGAGAAAATCGAAATGAAATAATTTATTTTGTGCTGTTTGCACGGTTTTATAGATTGCTTTTAGCAGCAGCAGCAGCCCATACTTCTATTAAGTAGTCTATGTTTCTGCTCCCGGCAAATGGTTTTAGATAATTAAGTATTTTTTATAAAGTGTGTTTGAAAATATAGTTGATATGTTTAGAAAATAAATAAAGAGAATAATAAATATTTATTTGCTTCTAACAATTAGAAACTGTAATCCTGTATGTTAACTATCATCCTACGGGTAAAACCACCAGAACCCATTTCGTGAGAACGTGCAGACACGATGATCTTTTTGATGATCCCAGAAGGCACCGGACAAAATTCAAAGTTGACAATATTTAGTCTGGGCAGAACAACGATATAGTTCAGGGTGGGACACTTGGGTTTGATGATCCAGTTGAGTAGCAGACGAGACATGAAGATTGATATTATTCAAAGCAATGGTCCTTGGAAACTCGGTCCGTTGTCTACCAATGTCCAAGTGTCGAGGAACTTCCACATACTGGAAGTACTGTACATTAAAGATGCCTAAAGGAATTCGAGATTTGAGGAGTTAGCAACTTTTGCTTTACTTTGCGTCATTCCAATGCCGATTTTAAGAGACTATTTAGCAGAATGAATGTAATATAAACAAGCAGAGGAGTGGTTTGAGTATATTACATATAAGTCCAGACCGTATTCGGCCGCGGCGGCGTCTTCAAATTGGTTAGTGAGAGCTTTTTTTAATGCTCTCAGGTTACTGACATATCCGATTTTTGCCTTGCGTCCACATTCGCTGCAAGTCAGCACCCACGATTATAAGGTATCGCCGCCGGTAGTCGGACCTTGAGCTCATCCCGTTCGAGCCATCGAGCTCTCCTTTCCGTCGTTTTTCGAACACAAACACCTGAGGGCGTACAGTGGCCTGTCCGTCGACACTGCTTCCCACTGCGACGGGTCAAGGTAGGCAAACCTAGGTAGGTTAAGCTAATTTATTTCATGTGCAGATATGTTACTAACACATAAGTCGTCCACATACATCACTTCGGTAATGGTAGTGCGAGATATTTTGGTGAGCTTTTAGTGTAGATAGGTTGAAAACCCCAGCGGCACCGGGTGGAAACGAATACTAATTGCCGTCAGGCAAAACCTGAAAGGCCTCCCTTACTACTACTGCAAAGTACTGAGCAAAGAGATTTGGAGCGAGCACGAAGCCTTGATGTATACTGACAATGTTAACCCCTGAGTCTATTTTGCGTGTAGATTAAAAAAACTATTACAACAATATATTTTAATCGAAGATATAAAATAGAAAACGAGAATATTTTATAATAATTGCTTTTCAGTCTCAAGTTTTTATGAAAAGTCCTATTTGAGTGGTTATTCCTATTCGTTATCTTTTTAACTATACATTATATTGCAAAGTGGGTTTTACCATTAGGAAGATTTCGTTTATTTAAAAAAAAATGTATTTTTGAATAGGTAATTGTTTTTATATACAAGTAATGTATATGTATCACTCAACACAATAAAACACCTACACAATACTATTCACTACTTAATATTTATAGGTTTATTGCTCCAAGGATTTATCTTATCAGTGTCAACTGCAACATGTGTAAAGTGATATCAGTTTATATATTTAGTGTATATTATGTACTAACCGCTTAGTCTCGCATTCTATCCATACCCACGTAGTTTACGAACATCACCCCCACTACCACCAACAACCTATAACAGTCCACTGCTGGACATAGGCCTCTCCTTAGAAAGGAGGTATTGGCCTACTATACCACGCTGGCCAAACGGGTTGGTATAGGGTTTGTTTCAAGTTTTCCTTCTCTTAGCAGTGCTGTCGTCCTGCGTAGTTTGCTCCCTTACGACACCCACGGGATGAATAGGGGTGGTGACATTCCGTATTCTTAATCCGTCACCACACGCACAATACAGATAAACATGATATACAGAAACTGCAACATTAAATTTCGAAAAGTATTTGTTGATGGCCAAACATCAATTTTTTTTGAGTATTTTATAAAAGTTGCAACAAGTGTTTTAAGCTAAAATACAGCTACATGACAAGCCTGACAAGTTTTCTCAGCTGAGGACTGAGGATGGATAAAAGACAAACCATATTCAAGCAAAAGATAGCTAATGGACGCACCGTCCTAGAGCTATAAGGCGGCTGAACAACAAGCCTTGCTCAAGTGTAAGAGAGCTAATAGACACACGGTCCTACCGTCACAATTTAGTTTAAGGCAGCCGAAGACAAGCCCTGACTTAAAGAGAGTTAAAGGAAAAACCGTCTACAAAACTAAATAAAAGGTGCCTGAACGACAAGCCTTCCTCAATCTAAAGAGAGCCCAAGGACAAACCATCCTCAGCTATGAGGTGGTTAAACAACAAGCCTTCTTCAAGCTAAAGAGGGCTAGAAGACAAGCCGCCCACAGCTAAAAGGCTGCTTAACGACAAGCCTATCTCAAACTAAGTAGGACTACAAGACAAACCTTCCTCAAGCTAAAAGGTGACTAAACAACAAGCCTTCTTCAAACTAAAGTAGACAAAATCAAATCCACAAAAGATGTGAAAGCCCAAAATGCTTGTAATTAGATAAGATTTTAACAACATGTTAAGAAAGTTGATTTGTTCTCTGACACACATGTGCTGATCAGCTATAGTTTATACAAGGGGTGTACAGTTCATACAACTACTATGGGAGTACAACATTCTAATTTCTATATTATCTATGTTGCATATGATAATTTATATCTTTTATGGTTCTTTTTTTGGCATAATTGGATAGCAGTATAAATATTAATCTATTCCTTATATATTATCTATAGGAATTACATTATAATATGATCCTTAAGTAAACATGCAACACAGATTGTACAAATCATATAAATGAAAATAATAAGAAAATATGTGTGTGAATACTTACAAGACGTGCGTCCAGATGGCCAGTAATGGCGTCAATAGCGAAAATGAATATACTAATACAAGCACTCTCGTGTTATCGCTCTATATCGAGTCATCTACTTGCGCTACAATTAAACCCTTTATTACTAGATAAACGAAACAAACCGTTAGTTTATGACCGTCTAATTATTAATTAACCGGTAAGGCTAAGTTTTTTGTACCAGTCTCATTAAGAAATTATTTTAAGTCAGGCGAAGATTTTGAATTGCATTCTAAAACCTAAGAATACTGAGATAATTCTTATCATAACATGACGTGACAGGGGTCGGTAAGGATGAGCAAGAGATCTTTGTCATTTGTTATTTGTCAACTGCTGGAGTTGACAATTAATAATTGACAGGTTATATTTAAAGTTGTTTATGGACTCTATCTTTTTTTTTTTAATGTTAGAGGGGGCAGACGAGCAGACGGGTCACCTGATGGAAAGTGACTATCGCCGTCCATGAACGTCCGCAACTCAGGAGTCACAAACGCGTTGCCAGCCTTTTAGGAAGGAGTACGCTATTTTTTTTAAGGTTTGAAGGTCGTATCGGTCCGGAAATTCCGCAGACGATGACCCGTTAAACCGAAGACCGAAAAAGTGTCTCGAAAAGCGCACAGTAGTGGGGCGCCAACTATCCAGGTAATGAGGATGAAAATTTTGCCGTGTGGAACGATGGCGGAAATTTGAGGCTGATATTAGTCCGAACAATTCTTCGGAGCATTCTCCAAGATATATGCGATAGAGAATGCAGAGTAAAGCCACATCTCTACGTAACGCCAAGGGATCGAGCCGATCGGAGATGTTTGGGCTATCGATGATTCGAGTCGCTCTACGTTGGATGCGGTCCAGAGGGAGAAGCTGGTACTGAGGTGCCCCTGCGTAGTGATGAGAACAGAATACCATATGCGGCCGGACTTGCGCCTTATAGAGCTGAAGGTGGTGGGCCGGAGTGAAATACTGCCTCGCTCTGTTCAGTACACCGAGCTTCTTCGAGGCCAATTTGACCTTACCCTCTAAGTGACTTCGCTCGATATGTCGATGCCTAGGATTCCGATGCTGGCTGATGCAGTTAGGAGGGTGCTCTCAAACTGAGGTGATACGACAAATAGTATCTTTTTTGCGGTGAACGCACATACCTGTGTCTTTACAGCCCGTGTATTACATAGAGTCAACAGACATGTTCTGCAGGGATGTGCAAAATAATAATTTAGTCAAAGTATTCATTCAAAATGCAAATGCTTGGTTATTTTATAATTTTTCAAATAAAAATACAAAATGGTTTATGACCATTTTGAATTTTATTTGAAATAATAAAGTATTTAAATACAAAATGCAAAGATGTATTTTTTCAAAATACCTTTTCCAAATAAAATTCTTTATTTCACTGAAGTATTTGTTCAAAGAGTTCAACTTTCATGTACCGTCTATCGGGTCTTATAAATCAATAAGACCCCATGTCTTATAAATCAATCCAGCAAATGAAAATAATCGTTCAACAGGCGCAGAACTTGGTAAACAGATATCATATTTAACGAAGAGTTTTTTACATTTGGAAATCTGTTCAAGAATTCTAAGGTATTGTCTCCATCTTTTAAATATTGTAGTGTTTCCAGGTCATTCCAGGTCAGGCATTAACACTGCTTGCTGAAGAATCAGAGTTCAGTAGAAGCTCGCTCACTTGATATAAAGATACATAGTTTAACGTGACGCACAATGTTGGCATTATTATTTACTAGCGATCCGCCACCGCTACCGCCGCTGCTTCGCACTGGTGTAATGTAGATACTACTAATGCTACTAAAATGGTGTCAGTATGGATTAATTAATTCTACTATTGTTATCATTAGACAGGACATCTTTATACTATTCAATATTTATAGGCCCACTCCGCTCCTGCCGGCCGTTGCCACCCGGGATGGACGCACGCTTTAATCTGCTCTAAAGGCAAGTTCAATCCACATTAAATGCACAACGTATTTTATGTATTTACTTTGAAAAAGGAAACTGTTTTGTTCAAAATAGCTTTGTAAATTACCCATTAATTTTCGTAATTATGTAAAAGATAAAAAAACCGGTACGAGTCGAACTCGTGCGCCGAGGGTTCCGTACCTACCCAGTTTTTCAGAGATTTTCGCAAATAAAGAGAAAATTCTGAAAAATAAAAAAGTTGAAAATTTAGGTAAATTTTGGTACTTACAAGTTTTCATGAAAATCGAAATTTGCCCATATCTTTTTATCGTGTTGACTCAGGACTTTGATTCATACACCTAATAGGGACCATAGACCTCAGTATCTGGTATAAATTTCAACTTGCTAGGTCTACCTGTTCCTGAGAAAATGGGTGGTGACACACGGACAGAAGGAAAAGAAAGTGATCTTATAAGGGTTCCTTTTTTACCTTTTGAGGTACGACACCCTAAAAAGTATTTCAGCAAAATAAAAATAGGTTTTTTGCATTTTGTATTTTCATCTTAAATAATGTAAATCTCTGGATATTCTTCAAATGTCAAGTGAAGATAATAGGAGACTCGACAAGTGGCCACATACCCAAGCGTGTAAATGGGGTGTTTGGTTTGTTTCGCGTATGCTTGTCGTCGGTCGGTACTAGTGTCAGTTTTTAAACACAGATCAAAGGAATCTCGCGGCAAGCATTTGTGGTGCGTGCTTCTTTCCTACTGCTCAATTTGATATTACAAATATTGTAGATGAGCAGTCGTAAATCAACATTAAGTCTCAATGCTCTACTGATTGAGCTAGAGATTTTTTTTTAGTTTAGTGCTGCCGTTTCCATTTTGAATAAAAATATGTCCGTATGTGACGGATTAAGAATACGGAGTGTCACCACCTCTATTCATCCCGTGGATGTCGCAAGAGACGACTAAGGGTGCAAACTACGCAGGACAACAGCGCTGCAAAGAGAAGGAAAACTTGAAACAAACCCTATACATATCCGTCTGGCCAGCGTGGTATAGTAGGCCTCAACCTCCTTTCTAAGGAGTGGCCTATGTCCAGCAGTGAACTATTAAAGACTGTTGGTTGTGGTGGCGATGTCCACTTCTGCTATGTTCGCCTGTCCGGAACCTAATAGCACACTCGCAAGCGTGTAATTGGCATCCAAGCTTTTGTAAAGACTTGGAGCTTATGGACGTTTGCCAAGCCTCGGCACGCGTGTAAACTAGGCATAAGAATTGATTCACAGAGGTTAGTTGGAAGTTGGGCGACTCGGAAAATGATATAACAACAAAACAGCTAACAGTTCACATATAATATAATTTATAGTTCACATAAGAAGTATCGTTTGACAGTTCGGACAGATTCAAGAATAGGGGTCAAAGAAATCGATTACTTCAATATCCGATTCTTAAGATATTGATAATTTCTTTGTAGGTATTTGCTAATCCAGTTTAACAAAATGTATTACTGTAGTACTAGGCGAAGTTTGTATTTCAACTATCAGCGGCAACTTCCCAATGTGCAATGGTACAATACATTCAGACTTACTATCATATTTTGCATTTATGCTATATAACTAAAACCTGTGTGTGTGTGTGTGTGTGTGTGTGTGTGTGTGTGTGTGTGTGCGTGTGTGTGTTTGAAACTATTACTGAAAAATGAATATGAGTTGCTGCTCATCTATTATAAAGATGAGAAATTCAATTGAGTGGTGGAAAACAAGCGCGCACCAAAATGTAAATATGCCGCAAGCTTCCTTTGATCTATGTTCAAAAACCGATACTACCTACGATCGACGACAAGTTCACGCAAGCCAAGTCAAACACCCCGTTTATCCGCTTGTATTTGTGGACACTTGTGGAGACTTACTAAGCGTGTAAACGTACCATTAGGTGTTGAATCTGGTAGAGGGAGAGTTAATTTAACTCTTCTGTTGGCATTTTTGGCAACACTGAAAGTCAGGTTTACGGCATTGCAGATGCGCGTTATTTGAATGTACCTACCTACTTTTTTGCACTCTACAAAAACTGTATTCGATAGTGGAAAGTAAGTTAAAGTGCCTACTTATTATGGGCCTAAGCTGCCAGGGTGATGACTTCTGAGCTCACTATCTCGCATCACATCAAAAACATTTGTGAAGGAACCTTAAACGGAGCTTCCACACCGTCGTTGGACTGTAATGGACTGACTGACAGAATCTTCATAAAGGAAAATCATTGGCAAGTTATTAAGATGAGGAATGTAGCTCAAGAAGAGGTCCATTTGGAAATGGCTCGTTGTCATAGATTTTCGAGCGCCTATTCGGTGGACATGTGGCGCGAAGTGCGACGTCACTGGATGGTGCTAGGGGTGCTGAGCGCTGTGACAGTGGCAGTTTTGGCGCCGCAACTAGGGGCTCGTGGAGGCAACTACACTGCATGTTCAGTATATATATCATTCTAGAACGCCTTGCACCTCATACAACCATGTAACTAACTACATTTAATTTAATTTTTTATTGACATTTTCAGTATGAATCGTGAGCAGTCTGCACTTGTCTCTACTATGTCTCTTTAGTATGTTCCAAGTTGAATCAGATTCAAATCATATCAGATCAAAGGTATGATGATACCTGTATGCTTCTGTTTTAGATGAGTTAGCATGTCATAGACATCATCATATAGTGTGCTTGATACATCAAGTGAACACTTTTAATATTCATTGAGTTATTGCAAGGACAAATCAAATGCTAAGGGGCCACCTAATCTATGACATCCCATTAAGTAACATTTATTTTTAAACTTTGATGTTCTATGAGTTATAATATGCAATTATATTCTGCCTCCATTGGTGAAGGATTTATATTTTTACTTCATATTTAAACTAGTAATAATTTAATGACAACAACAATCAGAGGTTTACATGTTATTAACCATGTGATTGCACTAATACCTGTAAGTTCCAGTTGATGTCCTTGTTCTATTGCCCTCTCTAACCACTGGAGGTACATGGGGTTACACGCTGGCCTGTTCTGTGACTTATGGCATACCTCTCCCTATCCTTACATCTTTTTTATTTGATCTGTTTGAAAATAATTTTATTTCTAAGGCAGGCAGAAGCCATTAAGGAACCAGCCAAAACCTTTGGCCAACCCCAAATTAAGGCTAGAAAGAGTATGATATACATAACAATATCTTCTATTTGTACAGGATCTTCCATTTTAAAATTTGGACATGCCTGGTGGTCTAGTGATTAGTTACCCTGACTGCTAAGATGTGTTTGGGGGTTCGATTCCCACCCGGGACAAATAATTGTGTGATGAGCATGATCATTTGTTCTGTGTAATTTATCTATAATATAGGTACTTATAGTACATATATGTTCTTATGGTACATATATGTACTTATAGTATTTATAAATATATAAGTACATTTATCTGCAGCCTGGTTACCACAGTACAGGTGCTGTCGCATTTATTTGAAAGTTAATTTATTTTACTCTATGAATGAAATAATGATATGTAATTCTCAGATGCAGGTACACATTTTTCTTTCTTAAAATTATTCATTTATTATTTATTTTTTATATCTGCAATCAGCCCTTTGAACTTTAATCAGATTTGAACGTCTAAATTAGTAGTTTGAGATTCTTCACACCCTGTGATGTGACATCTCCATTTCTTTCAGAGTTATGCTTATGGTATTAGCGTTTTTCTTTATAGTTTCAGTAGGACTTTTCTATAACCTACTTAACTGTTGGTAATTGTAGATAATCATGCACTTCAGTGCTCCTTGTAAACCAAGGTGCACCACTTAGGGCATTGAGATTTTAAGGATATGGGTATGGGTCCAAATGGTAGTGTACTCCTCTAAAAATGTTTTATATATTCAATCAATATTTATTACACATATTTAGAAGCCTGGTTGTCTTTTTCTCAGAGACCTGATGCCTCTTGAGTCCAATCTTCTCCCACCTATTATACAAGATCACTTTTCTTATTACTGACCTCATTTCTCGCCGGGGTACATGATGGTTATATAATACTGTACCATTTTTCTTTATCTCTTAACATATTTATATATAACTTAAATTATTTCATTCTGTTTGTTATATTTTCTAGTTTGGCCTTTTTTCTTGTGTTTGCGTTCCTTTTATTCTTTTTTCCTAATGCTCAACAAGCTTCTCTCCATTGATCTAAGGCAATAAAGGGATCTTTGACAGACGTGTGAGATTGAGAAGATGATTACTTTATTTAAAAAATTATTAAATGTATTTTTTTTCTTAAAATATTGTTATACAGCCATTTTCTGCCCATTCTTTAAAGATCGCAGACATCATGGCCTTTAATCCTGTGCTTTAAGTCTATCTTTTAAGTTAGGTACTACTACGAAGTATTGTACTTTACTGCTTTTCTTTTTGTATTGTACTGCTTTTCTTTTTATTTGCTGCTTCTCGTGTTTTCCTACCCTCGGCAGAGTTGGTCTAAGAGTCGACTTCATCAGCGCGCCCGCTCTGTTCTGATGATATATTGAGGGTGCCTTTTAAGAATCTGTGATCAGTTCCGGTTATACCCTGTTGACCACAGAGACATCCCTAAATTTTTGGCGTTGTGATGATGAACTCGATTGCATTCTTTGTCACGCTATCGGGGCTTAGGCAGATTCACTTCCTTTGGGGCTTCTTCTGAATAAAGGAATTAATCAGATAGAGCCCCTGGACCTCAAGAAAGTATACCAGCATTTACCCACGGTAGTTTCTGCGCCCGAGATGGTATTGCTTGGAGTTTCTCGGCGAGATCGCATCAGGAATGAGGACATCCGCAGATAAACCAAGGTCACCGTCATTGAGGCACCGTCGACAGGGGGCGGGACTGTGGGTAATCTTCCTGGTTGCCGGACTCTAGGGTTATCTAATCGAACCCCTGCCGAAATTAGTGGGTTAGGTTAACTGACTAATTTCTTCTTTCAGATCAACTTGTTTTATCACAGCTAGTTGTTGTTGAAAGAGTTGGGCCTAGATGTCTGCCGATATTCTTGGCACGCCTAGCCCACCTTTACTGTGACCGTTACCCTAGCCAGGCAAAGCGGGTCTACCAGGTACTCGAGTCCAGGTTCTTCTTTTCGCTGTCATTGAATCGCCATTGCTAATAATCACCACGCTTGGCATATAAGTTGGCGATCGCATTGCTGAGCGTTACAAATTCGAGGTAGATGCTGCAGCCGAGCTTACCTATTTTTCTTCTTGAGGACACCATAGGTACAGAGGGGAGTACGATTCTTGTCAATACCAAATGTAAAAGTTTACCTACATATCGTACAAAAATGTATACATCTACCACCTTTCTTGTTTATGTTGACATTGTGAATAATAAATAATTTTCTTTTTTTATCTTTCTTTGTCTCGTATCTGATTGATAATCGCAAAAAAGCACTAACTGTACAGTGACATTGGGATTGTTCATTTAATTTTACTCGTGCAGTAGATTTCTTATTCTCGCTAAATTTCAAAATTCTTCTGAGCTTCATGGGACGCACACATTATATTAGTGTTAATTTACGCATACTAGGGAACAAAAAGTGTTGATATAAACATAGATCTGCAACGATGTGATTCTATACGGTAAAGGAATTTCTGCTTTCAGAGCTCGTGTTTGGCGCTCGTTATTTCTCGGCATTGATGTCTGCTGATTGAGTACATGTTGAGGCTTTATTCAATGTCAAGTTCAAGTTCTTTCCTACTTACACTAAGTTGTCTTTCTAATTTGGTGTCGTTAATACGAGCCAATCAGAACATAACATTCCATAAATCTAGCTGCATTATGAGACAGGACAGGTTAGGTCGTTTCATTCTGAGACACGACAACTGAAAAGTATCACACATTAACCACTATCCAGCCGGTGGACACTATCCACTCCTAGCGATCATTCACGGCTTGTGCACACGTGTCAGGAGGCAAGGGCTAAAACCTGTCATTTTGAACACAAGCAATTCTACTCTTAAGAATAGAGCAATCTTTTACCTGTATTTATCTTAAATCTGATCTTCTTTCATTCCACGGTTACAACAGTGGGCCCACACTCGTTTCTACCTGTGATCAATCAGATCTTCGAAAATATTCGTTGCACCTCGATACTGGAAATGATCTTAAGAGAGAGCGCTTGCTGCTGGAAGCAGAGCGTAGGCCCACATTGTGTTTATCATTTTATCTTGTCCACTATTCGACTGTATAACATTTCTGATTTTGATTATACTAATCATTGAAATAACTGCTTGTCGTACCTGCAACTTGACTTGGACTGACTTGGCTTGACTTGGATCTATTTTTACCAAATATTTATATATAATTAGTTATAATATAATATGTTTTTATCAAAAATGATACAATCTATGAATATTCCGTAGACAATGAAATTCGTATGTACAGCGTGGTGCAATTGAAAACACATTATGCAAACACATTTACTTTACGCTATTCCTCAAATTTTAACACAATCTAAAATGATAGGAAGATTACTAAGTCATCTACCAAGTTTAGACGATAGATCGTATACATTAAACTATATGTGAATAATAAAAATATCCGACATGAAGCATAACATCCAAAAAGGGCTTTTCACACCTTTAACCTTTAGCAATTAAAAAAAGAGTAATTAAATCAAATACAAATACCTTGTGGCGCCCGCGCCTTTGCGATCTATGGAACGTAAACACGCGAACAACTACTACTATACGCGCACATCTTTCCGGGACGCGAACAAACTAATATAACTACGGTACGAAGGTGCGTCTAACGCAAGACTTGTTGTGTTAAATGAAACAGTAAAGTCCTGACAAGGTCTGTTGAATTAGACTTTCTGTTAAGAAACAATATACAGGTACAGGTAAGTAATGAATAACCCGTTAATCTGAGGTAGCCCTAGTGACAGCACAGATCAACCAATGCTTAGAATGTCCTCCACCTACTGCGATGCAGGCTCTACTGCGCCTTATAAAATACCCTTTAATCCAGCGTGCAATAAATGGGATTTATTAAAAAAACTCCACTAATAAAAGTAACCATGTTGCTTGTCTCCTGAAAGAGTTTGGTAAGGATATCCTAATTACATAAAATATCATGAAATTATAAAGGCGAAATCGTGGCCTTGGCACTTATCTTTAAAAATTGAAATCCTACCCTTGCTAAGTTCTTTCGCTTTAGTAAACTAGTATTGCTTGTAAAACACAAGTAATGGTCTAATTTATTTAATGGATAAAAAATTATCTAATGTTAATGTGGGGTAATAAAACATAACCACAACCCTTTTTTCTACGTACTTAATAATATACAATTTATCCCTATGTACCAAACATAAAGATAAAAAAGATGTTTTTGGTATATATTTTAGTGTGCCTCATTGCTTTTAAAATAATTTCTCTAAAATCGTCACATTCGATACATTTTGCACGAAAATATTTAGTAAAGTCACAGTTCATTTGATTGCGATAGTGATGTAGCCAATCTTATTATATATTTTAGTTATAGATGATTTTGGTTTTTACAATGATGGCGGCCGCTTTTACGATGACCAGAGGTGATTTGGAGGTACACAACACTTGAGTACATTGTAATAGTACACTACTATTTTGAATTATGTTACCTATAGTGTTAACGTCATTTTTGTTTCACAATTTTGAACAAATAACTGTAAATTGACAATTTTATACCTCTTATAAAAATTCATGGTTTTAGGATAATTTGCGTAATCTCGCAGTATTGCGTATGAATTTACTTTTGCTATTAGACTACCTATTGTTTTAAATAAGTTCTTATTATGAAGATATAACCCACCCCTGTTGTCCCACTGCTGGCTCTGTGAGAATGGTCGCCACGATCTGTCTATCTGTGCCATTACCTCGTGGTACATTCGTCCCATATAATTACATATGTTCGAGCGGTCCATTTTTACGTATGGAGCATACTGAATGTTGTTCTAATGAAACTGTCAGTGGTCGCTTAAAGTTGGAGTGTGCTGTTTTTCCATCATTTAATAGCCCATTTTTCCCAGATTGTCTCACTTATGCCAAGTCCAAATTTGTGAGGAACGTTTTCCCACTGCCTCCTGGGGCGTCCAGAAAGATTATTTTACCCCTGTTATTTAGCAAATTGTCAATAATTGCGTCTTTGGTCTCTAACTATTTTCGATAAATTTTCATAGTCCCACAGCGACCGACGCGACGTCATCGCACGCAGCTTTGTCACGTTTGCCGAACTTTTATTTGATATTTTAAATTATCTCAAAAAACATTCTGTAAAAAACTATTTTTATCTAAATAAAGTTTCCTTGATGATAAAGCAATCTATTTCTAAATAGATTGACGTGTTTTATATGAAAAAAAAACGTCTGATAGAAATATCACTCAATAGATTACGACACGGTCGCGGTTCCATACCTATGACGTATTATCTCTTAACGCATTCGTCCAAATTGTATGCAGTAAAACTTAATTTTAGTTTAGTAGTAGTTACAGTTTACATAATTCATAATTGTTGATAATATGACCAATAAACAGGGGACTGAGAAGTAAAACACTTCATCTTTGGGGTTGATATGTTGATCATTTGTTTGAGCAACGTAATTTAACTGGACATGTATCATTTATCACGTAATGTCAGCATGTATTATATATGAAAAATATATAACTCACAGAATTACTTTGAAACTATAATATTTACCACAAAAATTTAAGTGTACAGTGAAAGTGAATGTTTTTGTCTACAAAAGAAGGGACTCAAATTTAAACTTAAATAGTGAACTAGAATGTTCAAATGTTGTTTTTGCTCTCGTGTAGTGTTGCTTGTTTACTTGTACTTGCATCACTTTCCACAGGAGGTAGGTACTGAAATGTATTCGAGCTTAATACATTGTTTTCAAGAGCTCTTATAATATATTTGTTCAAATGAAACGAATAATAAGTCAGTATGCACATTTAAAGTTCCTAGCCCATAGATAATTTATTTAGTTTAATTGATTTTTGTGTGAATTTATGTGAGCGTCGTTCCTAAATTTTCCGAATCGGTTAGCTTACTCGTGGGGTGCGTACTATTTTATACTGGGATGGGCATGGCGCAGGGTTTACCCGCCCTCCTCCCGCTATATACGCCTATGTCAATGATAAGTGTGCGAAGTTTCAAATCAATCCAACGTTTTGAAGTGAGCGTTTATGATTTCGTTACACACGTACACGTAGGTAAAGCTAATAAAAGCGTGTTAAAATGACACAATTTTTTTTATCCCGCTAAAACTGAAATATTGCAAGCTACGCTGCCGTCCTCAAGAGCGTCTTTGGCGTCTACTATTAAGGTTACGGTTACTAACAGTAGCAGTATAATCAGACAAGTGATTGTTAAGGTATGCGCCACACTGTATATATGTTGAATTAGATGGTAATCAATCAGGTAGAGTTTGGAAAGCCTGCTAACTTTAAAGCATCTAATGCGACTGTATAAACTAAATGTAAGTGTGCATGTTGCAGGTGTATTGCACACAGAGGTGAGCGAGTGCGTGCCACTGTTTTACGTGTACTACTCAGCAGGAAAGCGAACGAGCGCGCGCACGCTTTGGTCAAACCTACGCACGCACGCGCGGCTTCACGCTGTGTGCGTGGCGCACGCTCACCTCGTCGCGCCAGCGCTCTGCGCCGCACTCGTCACCGCTTTCAGGGACGGGGTTGACTACAGAATTGTGAAGGGGTAAATACAGACAGTGCCGTAAATAGCGCTCTAGTGCCACACAAATTTCATTGGTCGATATTCCATTAATGTTACCGATGACAGTTAAATATTTCTAAGACCATAAATTCTGACTCGAAGTGTTCGCACCCATCTCCACCTATACCTCGCAAGATACCGAGGCCCATACTAAACATTGATATAATGTAGGCACCGGAAAGTAACAAATACTTGTTACTTTCCGGTGTGTGCGTTGATATTTTGAGAGTAAAAATTTTTACATACCATATACGACGTCATACACTAAATACTGTTAAACTCAAATAATGAAATTCGAACTTTTTCCGCTGGGGCTACGCACACCTTTCCGGTGGACATTAATAGTTAATGTAGTGAGACTAATATATATTTCCACTTTCAATCATCACATCACCAGCCTTTAATAGTCCACTGCTCGACATAGGCATCTCTTTAGAAGGGAGGTTTTGGCCTACTATACGACGCTGGCCAGACGGTTTGGTATTGAGTTTGTGTCAAGTTTTCCTTCTTATTGCAGTGCGGTTGTCCTGCGTAGTTTGTCCCCTTAGTCGACTCTTACGACACCCACGGGATGAATAGGGGCTGGTGACATTTCTTATTCTTAATCCGTCACCACACGGTTAGCACATTCAATATTATTACTCATTGACTCGTCATGGCCTTTCACTTTGCTACTCACTTTAGTTACAGTGTTATTGCCACTTATTTTTTGCTTAAATATTGCAATGAAACATAAAAAATGCAACTCTACATAGAATAAGTTAGTTCATGATTACATGATAATACTAACATATTGAAATGTTGTGCGGGGCCAAGTGTGATGCTGTGGTCGCGCGGCGGCGGGTGCGCGTGGCTGTCGCTCGCGCTAAGCGCGCACGCGGCCGCGCCGAGCGTCGCCGCGTTCGTGTACCTCGCCGCTTTGCTCGTCGCACCCCTCGCCACCGCGCTCATCGTGAGTGGTGCACACGCTTTAACTTTTAAGCTGAGTTCTAGCGACGAATAATTCTACTCGACAAAATATATTACGTAGTATGACACTGTGATACACACACACACACACACACATTGCGCATGTGCATTAATATGTTCCAACTGGAACGTTTAGAGAATGGACATTAAACTATTTACTTTTAATAATATAATAATATATCGGACACCTAACACACAACGCCATCTAGTTTCAAACTAATCAAAGCTTGTACTATGAAAGCTAGATTGACTGATAGAATACTTATATACTTTTTTATACTATTATATTATAATATAATATGTTTAGTATTAAGTAGTATTTGTTTCTTATATTATAACATGTATATATTGTACATAGAAAACACCCAAAAAACAAACATGTGCAGATCATACAAACACACGGTCCGACCCTCGAGACCTCAGCGCAGCAGTCGCATACGCTGCCACTACACCGAGGCAGTATTTAATTAACAAGATATAGAACGCCACACTCTATTAAAGGCATTTTCGAGATAATAAACTAATGCAACAAGCGTGCTATTAAACGAAAGATTATATTTACTCGTAAAGATCGTTTGTTAACATTCAATCCAAATTGGGGTTTGAGAAAATCCAGTACAATTTAACTCGAGTTGACCCATCGGTAAAACTAATTTTTAACTGACATCACGACTGAATTTTTAGACACCCGAAACCATTGATATTTGTTTTAACTCAATGCCCGAAACGGTCTGCTATACATAGCCTATAATTCAACAAATCTAAGAGGTATCGTTTGAGGTTTCACGCTTTTCAAACTGAAACAACTTTGAATAAGCGTAATTAACACAATTTCAATAACCTTTTCCTTAAACCATGGAATTATGAAGCTATTTTTAATTTTGAACAAAGCAAAATAACTAATTCAAACAATAGATACATTTTTTTAGACTTCATTTTTAAGTCACGTGGTTAGGTTCTTTATCATAGTGCTGCGACTCTTCAAATTCCCTTGTATACACATAATCTTTAATATATACGAGTAATGAAACTTATAAACAAGCAGCCGTCTTCAATCCAGCCTTTTTGTAGTATTTAAAATATTTAAAATTCAGCTGAAATTCAACTAATTAAAAGTATGTAAGTTTATGTTATTTTAAACAAGTCCTTGTAAGCGAAATCGCCCTTGTCCAAGACTCTTTTTTTTTAAATCGTGTTAGGATAAGTTAAAAAAAAAAGCTCTGTGTGTTTGATGAATTTTCGGGCTGCCAAGTTACCTAAAACATAGTCAATAAATAAAAAAAAAAATTGTTCAAAATTTTACTGTTTAATGTCCTGAATATCGAGTCATTTTTTTATAATAATGTCTTTTACTTGGAGAGGTTCTTGAAATTTTCTCTAATTTCAAGATGAAGATGAAATCGTTAAATATTTTTCGGCTACATATCTAATGAGACTTATTTTGTGTCCTTTTCCGACTAACAGGTTCTAAGTTTAAAAAATGCTTTCACTGCCGACTAACTTTCCAAGAATTTTTGTGAGAATATATTCGTGTTGTCTTTATTTTTACCATTACAATTTCTAATTATTTAAATCCAATCGTTTCTCCATACTCCATTTTCCTTAGAAAATTTAGTAAAACAATATGCAATAGTATACCTAGTAGTAACTATTAAATAAGTAACCTTAATAAATTGATTTTAATATCAAAACAAAAAAATTTCTTTTTTTCGGGTAATTTGCACACGTGGAAATTCGCAGCTCTGGGCTTATCATTTTAATGTATTAAATATGGAAATAAGTGATTGAATTTTTTTTTTTTACGTTTGGAAATCCCCTCGGACCGTCACCCCACCGGGGTTTGCGGCGGGGTGGTGTGTCGGACTCGGACCGACTAAAACCACACGGTGTGCCACTCTGCGCCTGTAATAGGAGGGATCCGGGAACACCTGTTATTAAGACATCCGGACCCCTCCTACATTAATTATACATTAACCTATGAAACGTGATTCCTGGATTATTTTTCTTTCGGTTAGTACGGTTTTTACAGCATTTCACTACGCAAAACATATTGTATGTTTATATGTTTATTTTCTAGAGAGCTTAAAAATTTTTCATACGTTGTTTTGAATTTGTTTATACTGCTTGTAAACGGATTTAAGAAAACCATACCATTCAGAATACATAAAACGTTGTCCCAGCGAAAACAGTTTTTCGTGAATAACTCCCCAATGGTTGGATGCACAAATTTTTACTTACCATACACAATTACACGACGTCATACACTAAATATCTGTTAAACTCAAATAATGAAATTAGAACTTTTTCCGCTGGGGCAACGCACACACATAAATCTGTTAAACTGGATTAGTAAATACAAAGAAACGATGTCAATATCTCTACAGAATCGTATATTGTAGTAAACGATTTCTTTGACCCCCTCGATATTCTTGAATCCGTCCGAACTGTCAAACGGTATTTCTTAGATTACGGATGTTGTTACGAAATATCAAACTCGTAGTTTTTTTCGCAACTAGGAGATATTTTTTTTTATATCACGAATTTCTTTCCAGTTCCAACCGACGAGACAAAGTCAGCCAACACTTGTGATCGGTGCACAATAATGTTTGTTACGATTGCCAGTGTGGTCAGGCGGCGATGCCACCGCTGTGGAGCGTGCTGCACACCCTGACTACGACGGCGGCGCCCTTCGTGGCTGGTGTGATCCGTGGGGCCGTGTGTCGGGGCGCCGATACGATCCCGGCGGCACCTGCCTCTGCGCTTCGTCTGTGCGCCCTGGCACTGCTGTACGCGGAGTGCTGCGAGCGTCTGAGTGACTCTGAAGGAATACTGCACGTGTCCGACGTGCTCATTACACTTACTCTGGGTGAGTTCGGGTGTCAGTACACGTTGTGAGCGAGTGGCGCGGGCTCTCATGTTGTGTCGTCTGTGGCAGAGCTGTGTGCTGTGGGGGCGGTGGCGGCAACGAGCACGCTGTACCCGCGCTGCGGCTTACTGGCTCCGGGCGCCGCGCGCCTCGTCACGCTGTGCGCACTGCCCCGCGCGCTTGACACACGTGCGTCACCATAACGTTTAACCCTCTCATTTATTCTCGTCTGAAAACTTGATTTTATTACGTAAATTAAATGCAATATTTGGTCAATTATATTCTTTACTGTACGGTTGTCTGTTATTAGTTAAAATGCTAAAGTGTGGAAAAGTAATGTCAAGCTTATCAATTTTGACTTTTTTCTTCCCACCGTTTCTCATTTGCTTTATTTGGATGATGTCAGATTTTTGATTTCGACATTCAATTTTTACTTTTTTTACTATTTTATCACGCGTTTCTGTATAAAATTATAGTAGATAATAAAATACTCCGATTAAAATATAGAGAAATTAACTTTATATTTTCCTCACATTTATGCCTTTATCGTTTGTTGCCTGCCATAAGTTCTTCGTTTCTCTTTCTTTGTCAATGTTGCCCGGCGCAGGCTGGGAGCCGGGTGAGGGCTGCGCGACGGCAGGGCTGGCGCGCTTGCCAGCCGTGTTCCTGGCGCCCGCGCAAGCGCTGCTGCTGGCTGCGTTGGTGCCCCACGACCAGCCCTCCGTCTGACCGAACACCGCTTAGTGTCTACGGCGTCATCTGCTTCCGGAGCGAGATAGCGTTGGACTATAGTTTTTACTGCAGTTTAAATTATATCTAAGCCACCACAAATTTTAGCAATAAGCTTAGCAGATTTTGCTGCAAAAACTAATTACAAGTCTTTACCTGAGGTCTTTAGAAAAGCAAAAAGTCGATGAAATTGCTTTGGTAAGAAATTAAACAAGGCAAGTTACAAAATAACACATTTCTTCAAATCTCAATCCATCATCATCCAACTCGACTTTGGATAACGGTACGGTACTTAGATGATCACCAGCTACTCAATGACCGACAATATGGTTTTCGCCGTGGTCACTTATCTGCTGATCTCGTTTATCTAACATACCGGTGGGCACAGGCGATCAAGACCATGGAAGTGGCTTGTGCGGTTAGTTTGGACATAGCGAAGGCCTTCGATCGGATGTGGCATAAAGAGCTTCTCTCGAAGCTCCCTTCCTATGGGCTTCCTGAGAAATTATGTAACTGGGTCACCAGTTTCCTTTCGGACAGAACATTCAGGTCGTTGTCGCCGGTGCATGCCCCTACTTGAAATACGTAAATGCTGGTGTCCCGCAAGGCTGTGTGTTATGTTGTGTGTTATGTTACCCACACTGTTTCTTCTGCATATCAATGACGTGTTGCAAACTAGTAGCATCCATGGCTATGCAGAGAGATAGTACGAGAGATGCCCTTTTCACCGGCCGTCCCAATATTTCTAAGGAAAACATCACCGAGAGTCGTGATTAGACTCTCACTAGATAGCATGTTTTGTTCGTATCCGGCCTCAAAATATACCAAATTAAAAACGATACTTTCTCAAAATTGCAGTATGGGATTTACAATTTGATTTTATGAATTAATCTTAGGAATTTTTGGTTCATTGCTACTAGAATCTTTTAAAAATAAAAACCCTTTCTGGACAATTCCTTTTACGTATTATTTAGTTAGTTTTAAGTGTTTTATCTCTACCTCTGTAATGTAACACACACAAGTACAAGTACATCGAAGTAAAGACGTCATTTTGTTTGTCTCCTGTTTTATTCCAAATCCTTACTCTTATTTTTTTTATTAAGTATGAGTAAAGATGCCCCAAAATTTGCAAATTTAGTAGTTCAAAAATGATGTAAGAATAATGTGGTCAGTTTTGTGCGGTCGTGGTCGGTTTTAGTTAGGTTCGGTATTTTTTCTATTTTTATTATTAATAACTGTCTACCTCTTGCATAACAAGAGATTTTTTATGTTCGTTTCTTTTGTGCTTCTAACATTTTATTTTCAGCAGGGGCAGTCAAATATATTGTGTAGGAGGGTCTCCTCCTGAGCTGGGTCTGACGTCACTATTTTACGCGCAGTGTGTTGTAAAGGGACACACTGCGATACACTAGGGACAGGTTACTGTAATGACTAGGCTGGTCAATAGTCTAAAAACACTTACCCGAAACGAAACAATAATCACACAATTTTTATTAGGGTAAGGTAAGTCACACAATATTAAAAGAGAAAAATACAAAATAAAACAAATCAAAAAATAATAATTTTTGCTCTATATAGAGCAAGTAATTTGGTAAATGCACACAATCTACAATATAAGATAGTACAATAAAGGTAATTTAAGTAAAGTAATTGAAAACAAACAATAATGAAAGTATTTATTTTATTTATTCTTACGAACACTATAAACATTTATATAAAAAATACATTAAGGAATAGTGGGCACAGAGGCGAGCTTAACCCATTATTGAGTTCTCTTCCAGCAAACCCAAGAGTGAAGAGAGGATAGCACAACAAGAGAGAGTCGTGTGTACAGAGTAAATTTAAGAAAATATACAGAAATAGAAATGTAAACGAAATAACCGAATATCATGTAAATAAACTATAATATAACACAAGTTCACACATCAATAACAATATGTACATTAAATATCTAATACCTACATGCATACATAATTATATTAGTCTGTTACTGCTGAGAAAGGAAAAATTCTCTGATTCGCCTCTTAAAAACACTTAAGGATGGGCTATCGCGTATTGAGTGGGGAAGAGAATTCCACAGTCGCACCGCAGACACAGTGAAAGACTTGTCATAGCGGGTTGAAATATGAGAAGGAGTTCGAAGGAGAAGAGAAAATGAGGTGCGACAAGGTCTACTTCTGGGGACAAGATAATCAAACGACGCCGCCGAATGCGTAGCCAGTTGAGTTGCTTGCGGAATTCCGACACATGGTCAAACTTTCTTAGGCCAAATATAAAGCGAATGCATAAAGTCTGCAATCGCTCAAGCTTATCCCAAAGTTGTTCAGTAGCGTCGAGAAAGGAGACATCAGCATAGCCTAAAAGGGGAGGGATTGTGAAAGACAGATTTTAATTTGAAAGCGAAGAAAATTTTGAAGGCTCTTTAAGGAATATTGTGTATGTGAGGGGCCAGGTCGGAACTCGCGAAAGAAAGATCGATCGTAGTACGGCTCGGTGACCGGGACGGCTCCGTGGCAGTCGTCGGCTCCACGGCGGCTCATTACGGCGCTGGGAGGGGTCCAGAAGGCGATAACTACCTGGACCCCCCCTAAAACAAAAGCGCAAAGAGGGCACACCGTGTGGTTTTAGTCGGTTCGAGTCCGACACACCGCCCCGCCGAACGAGAGCCCCGGCGGGGTGACGGTCCGAGGGGATTTCCACACGTTAAAAAAAAAATAATAATAATCGGAGACCTTGTACATCCCAAGAGATGATTTTAAAACATAAAATTAAGTATAACAATCAACTATAGATAGGTAGCTACTATTTTGAGTGCCGTACTTGTCATGTATGGTTTCAAGATACCTTACAGAACAAATGCTTACACAAATGTACCCAACAATACAGAAGGACTTTTATTCTTACTGAGGGATCACCTATATATCTACTTATTTTATATCTAATACTACAGCTTATTTTTAACTTATCGCTAACAGTTTTGTGGCTTTGTTTCCAGCTTTACATTTTACTAATTTTGTTCTTATTCTATGTTTATATGCTATCCAGTATATTCTCAGAATATAGTTTTAGCATACTTTCTTATAACTATTTTGTTAATTTATAGCTAAGACTTTTATCGTCGCTGTCGTTGACCAGCCTACGACTAAATTGGCTTCCTTTAGCACTAAAGTTCGTCCAATTTATAGGTTCCACTGTTTCGGATGTGTGTGTAGCGCTGTTAAGTTTCTGTGTGAACCCTGTGCACAGATGGGTGTCCGACGTGCTCGGTTCTATGGCGTTGTCGGTCTGTGGGGCGCCAGCGGCGACTTCAGCAATAGGCTACGGCCGACCTCGCTAGCGCATCCCACTTTTTTCTGACTGGGCACTGTTCGCTGAAAACTCCGTGAGCGGTATCTATCAGTTTCGCCTTCATGCAGTTCCGGCATGTCGGCGCTTGAGCTGCCCGGTGTTCTTCACACTCCGTTTTAAGGTGTGGGCCTCCGCAGTGATTGCAGAGGTCCACGGCCTCTGTACACAATTTACGCCCGTGTCCGTATGCCAAACACTTGGTGCATTGTATCAGGGGGGTCTGGTCCTCTACGCGGATTCGTTGAAGGTCCACGTACACCCTGCCGACCGACAGCAGTCTCTGGTACAGCACGGGCGTCACCCTGAGCACCAGGTGGCACTCATGCTGGTTCCGCGCCCTGCGCCTGTATAGGACTTCAGCTTGGCTGATGTCGGCAGCCAGGTCCCCCAATGAATTATTCTGCTTATGAAGGGCGGCCTTTATCTCCTCATTGGTGTTATACGTGAGGAGATTTTTGAGAACAATTAGTGGGTTTTTGTTTTTTGCCTCTTCATAAGCAATCTTGGCGTTCTTCTTCAGTCTGGCCTCCACCTTGTCCAGCTCCGTTCTGGTGGAGCAGCTGAGGATGACCTTCCCGTCCCGTATCTTCCTCAGCTTCTCCACCCGAATGCCGCTCTTCTTGGCGTCCAGCGCCCCCCTTATGTGGTCAACCACTTCGCCTGAGGTATCCATAGCCTCGGTGGACGAGATGATCAGGGAGTGGGTGGGTTTTTGTTCCCACATTGGCTTTTGCTGCCTGACCGCTTCCGCGTAAGTGGGAGAGACTCCAGATACGAGGCCCTGTATCTGGAGGCCCTCCACTGCGGTCTTTATCTCTCTTAGCTCTCCCATGAGTTCGGTGTCTTCTCTCGCCAGTGAGGTGCTGGGTCTTGAAGATCCTAGTTCATCCTTCACCTGGCGAGGTATCTTCTCCACCTGCTTGTCCAGCTTCTCGCTGAACGCACCAAACGTGTCGTTCACGAAGCGTTCGGTCTGCACGGCACTATCGTGAACTACCTCGGTTAGCCGCTTACATGTCTCCTCGAGGTATCTGTCCTTCTCCATCCTCGTGGTTGTGTTTATTACCTCCACTCCTTCGTCGATCCTCTCAATCATTTCCGCCTCCAGTTTTCGGAATCTTTTTTCGAGGTTCTCTTCTATTCTTTGAAGGAGTGTGTTGTTTGTTGAGACTGTCTCGGATATAGAGTACAGCTCTTCTTGCATTTTATGGGTCGCTTCTTCTCCCCTCTCTGCCAGCTCGGTGTGTAGTTCTTTTGCACCCTTGGCTGGTCCTTCAGGTTTCCTGTCGCCCTCTTTGACCAGCTCGTAGAGCCTCCCGATCACTGCGGTTACATTGACTTTTATGTCGCCGCGAATGTTTTTTGATTCCGTCAGGAGTGACTTGGCCCTGACCACAATGGCCTTGGCCTCGGCACTCCTGGTTGCGTAGTGTCTCGTTGTTTTTGTTGTGGCAGCTGGCGGCGATCGGGGTTTCGCCTCGGTTGATTGAGCAGCCTTGGGTTTTGCCCCCATCTTTTTCTGGGGGCCAGAAGGCCTTGTAGTCGGAGATCCGATAGGAGATCTCCTCGGTGCCAGTCTGGCGTCCTCACATTCTTCAATGTTAAGCCTCATCTTGGAGAGTAGCATCGTCGGCTCCAAGGTTGGGGCTATT